CCAACTCCCTTCCATCTTACGTAGACAATTCAAGGCCAAATATACACTACAGACAACTTAAGATTACTAATCCTCTTAACCCATTAATCGGAAATCTAGGACTAACAGGGTTTATTAGCATACCCTACTCAACAGTTCAAAAACGTCAAACAAACATTACAGTTTGAGCATATGACAGAGCTGCAGTGTTCAGTAACACTTTGATAGGACTAGGATTAGGGCTCCTCATGATGATTAAAACTTGGAGTGTTACAGTGAAACCTGGAACCTTACAGTAAATCTGTCGAAATTCAAAATAATGGTTTTTAGGAAATGTGGTAGGTAGGTTATCAGGACATGATAGATGATGATATAAGGGCAAACAGGTCGAAGTGGTAAATATTTATAAATATTTGGGAATGTTATTTATGCAGTGCAATATTTTAAGTGAAAATCAGTATGGTTTCAGGAGTGACAAAAACATATCTGATGCTTTATTCGATATTAATAAATGCATTAACGAGGCAATTTATGGCAACAAACGAAGTATGTTAATTTTTTTAGCCTTGAAAAAAGCTTTTGACTCAGTGGACAGAAGTCGATTGTTGCGTAAACTTGAGCTTGTCGGGGTGCGCGGCACCTCGCTCGCTTGGTTCAGCAGCTACCTCTCTGATAGGCTACAAACTGTCGCACTTGGTGAAGTGTCAAGCGATGTTTTGCCAGTGGAGTATGGTGTGGTCCAGGGTTCGACCCTTGGTCCTGTTTTATTCCTCCTTTATATTAATAATATTTCTAAAATTCAAACAGAAGGAAAATTAACATTATTTGCTGATGATACTCTAATATTTGTAACCGGATCATCCTACGAGGAGGTTAAAAACAAGGCTGAATCAGACCTCTGTTTGCTAAAAAAATAGCTTGACCAAAATGTATTGTCTCTTAATATATCTAAAACCAAATTCATGCCAATTTCATTACGCAAGATAACCGAATACAAACTTGAAAACCTATCTATTCATGTCTGTGGAAATCATTCCAATAAATCTTGTTTTTGTAGCAAAATTGAAAAAGTTGATTCATACAAATATCTTGGTATTGTTTTTGATTCAAAGATGAAATGGTCGGAACATGTTGAATATCTAAAAAATAAATTACATAAATATATTTATGCATTTAGGCAACTTAGTGATATACTCGAAGAGCAAGAAATTAAAATAGCATACTATGCATATGTTCAATCATTGTTATCTTTTGGAATTATTGCTTTTGGTGGCGCTTACAAAACTATCTTGCAACCTGTTTTTGTTGTACAGAAAACAATACTTAAAGTTGCTTTTAAAAACACTTTAGATATTCAACTGACGACCTTTTTGTAGAAACGGGAGTTTTGACAGTCAGACAGTTATTTTTAAAATTTATTTTAGTTCACATGTACAAAAACTTTGATAATATTCTTATAAAAATTACTCATCCCCTCAATACGCGCTTTTCTCGAAATGTTGGTATAAATGTTCCACAAACTTTAAAATCATTTTCACATACGAATTGCTTTCACTTAACCCAAATCATTTATCGTAACATGTGTAACAGATATCAAAATGTCAACATTTTAAATTCACCCTCTCTCTCTCTATTTAAGAAGCATGTAGTAGCGTGGCTTGTAGGACTGAGTGCAGAGGACACCGAGGCCGTTATCGCGTTGGGTGGACCTGACCGTTGACCCTACACAATCACTGATACACCACCTTCACTGACTGACCAACACACCACACTCCACCTCTCCTCTTCAATCTTCGCCAGATTTTTATAAATTTCCTCAGTTTTTGTACAAAGAGTTTTTTTATCATCAATTTAATTCACAGAAGAACACTAAACATTCAGTTTCAAGCAAGAACAATTGTTTATATTTAGAATTATACGAATTATTTTTTGTTTTCCTATACATTTTTTTACCTCCCATCTAAATTAACCTTTTCGCAACTCGAGTCTACGCACAGGCCCTGCCTATGTAGACTTTTTCCTTTGTTATAGAAGGTATTTTTTTTGCACTTTTTTTCGCTTTATTTCTACAGAATATAATTTTTGTTTTGTTATCTAGTTAGTAATGTTTGCTGTATTATATTTAAGTAAAAAAAATACAATGTAATTATATGTATATCATTTATGGGAAATAAAATATTATTTCATTTCATTTCATTTACAACGTCATTGTCATGGGAAAAAATGTCATAGAGAAAAGGCTAACTAATTATGCAATAAATTCAGTATCGCAAAGGCTGGTAGACAACAACAAAGTTCCGCTGCAAATTAAAATATTATGTTTCAAATCTATTTTCAGAGCTATTTTGTGTTACGGTGCTCAAGTTCCAGGGATTTCAGAGAGGGTTTAAGAAATTTCTAAGTTAGAAAATGCTCAGAAAAGTTTATAAAAACAATGTTTAGTTATGTCACATAACTCTCCCAGCTATATTGTTTACTTATAAGCTTGTTTTGAAAAACTGTATTTCTTTAGCCTACTAATTAACGCAACTTACATTTTTAAAGGCTTTAATATGGCTGGAATCTCGCTTACCGAAAATTATTGCTGTAATTAAAAAAGGTATTTTTTAGGCCAAAGAGTGGACACATCTAGGGCGAAAACACGGATTGGATATTGATTACGAGACAGCAGATGTTTTTGAACGATTAGTGAAGACGAAGACAATTGAGGCGTAAAGAGATAGCTGGAGAATTGATATGGTTGGCAGAGTGCGTACATCGCAATATCACCAACAACTGCTTGCCGTCGACCTTGACCTATGGCCCAGGAGTTTTCTTACTGACAACATCGATCTAGATCTTATCTCATGGGTCATTAAGGCCCTAGCAGAACTTGTTGATTTGAACCACAAATTATGGATAACGAATAAAAATCTTTTTCACAGTTTGTGCAATTTGCGCAAATTTGAAACAGTTTTTCATTATGTTTCTATTTGCCCAAATTGTAGGGGATATTAGGGAGTATTGGTTTGGAAAACGAAGCATGAATTGGGAAGAACACACAGAATACATTAATGGTAGGGATTGGCGTAAATTAGCAAACTTTATGAGAGAGGCATGGAGAAGGAGGTGGGTAGGGAATTTAATTACGAATAAATCAAGTGGACGAATGTTTTTTTTTTCAAAATTGTTTCCTTTTCTTTCAAAATTATAGCAAACAAAATTATTTCATTAAAAACTTGTCATCCTGTCTTCTATATTGAATATTCATAGTATTTTTATGTGTAAACCTATTAAAACCCAACAATTTTAAAACTTATATAAAAAAATTATATATAAACCATTATGAAATATGTTTATTTTTCGTTTCTATACAAAATGGATGTTGGGTATTTTATTTGTATATGCTAGGAATGAAGTGTATTTTGTTTTAATTTTATTTTCAGAAATGTGTTTTAGGTTTTAACATTCAGGTATGCTAACCAAACAGCCGGTCGTAGACCATTTAGTGTATGATTATGTTATAAGAGGAACGTTAATTTATAAAATAAAGCACTTTATTAATTCATTCATAGGATAGTAGGACTCCTCAATTAATTCCCTTCCAAGTTTAATTCAAAACAAAACCCAGCTTCGGCTCCATGTGGCAATGAAACATAAAATAAAGCTCCGATTCCTCCAAACACAGGCCACAGTTAGATAGTCAAGATCAAAGAGAAGGTTTAACTGATGTGCAAAGGAAAATGTAAGTTTGTATACCTTTTTGCTTCCAGAGATAGGTTTTTTTTGTGTTCTCTATAATTTAAACAACCATCAGCTAGCCTAAAGTCAAAGATTAAATCTATCAAACAATTCAAACAAATCGTGATTGGGTACAAAGAAAATGTTTCCATAAATAAAGATAGAATGAGTTTTTATTTTTTTCTATTCTGAGCTATTGAGGCCCCTTTTGGAGCTTTTATATGATGCTTGAGGGCGCACCTACGAGTCGCAGAAACATGTGATCGCCACACCGCAGCAACGCTGCCTAGTGCTGTCAATATGATAAAAAATCCTTCCTAACACGTGACTGCATTATTTGTTTATTAAGTTTCACAGTATGATAATGATGTATTAATTAAATAGCCTATTCTCATATAAAATGTTATACACTTTTAAACATTTATGTTGCTATACATAATCTAATATCATTTATTACTATTACTAGAGTACGTCTATCGTACGGGGTTGGCGTATAAGTATAAAATACTTATTGCAGTTAAACTCGTACTCTGAGTTTGCAATGGGGAGGACACGGTCTTAGAAAATTTGGTTTTTCAAGTTTACACTATGCTATAGTATAACACATCTACCATAGCCATAATGTTCTACCCCTTCACCTAAACATTAGAAGAAAGTAAATTATCAAACTTTAGCAAAATAACACAAGTTATTTATTAAATTAAAAACATAAAAATAATTGTTAACAACTTTGACAGTTCTCAATGTGTAACTTATCACCATTTATTTGCTGCTTAGTTTAAATTAGTTGTTGTCATAAATGAAAAAAATAATAGTGCTGCACCCTGTTGGCAAACCTTGTAACTTTTTAACACTATAAAATATCATAGAACCATCTTGTTTATTTGAAACAGCTGGCAAAATTCTTTAATTCCTTTTAACATGAATACTCATAAGAATAACATGGAAACTGTGAACCCCTGTGGGTCATAGCCCTAAAGGATTTTCACAACTTTACCTATGTGTTTCTTGAGAATATCAAATACACTGCAAAATGTCAGCACAATTGGTCCAGTAGTTTTAACGTGATGGAACTAGCCTAAAAGGAAGAAGAGGGTGCAAATGTCTCTCAGGCCCAAAGTACGTCACATGTAAACCACGGGCATGGTTACTGTATGTTTCAAATGTTTTTGTTAAACAATTATAATTTTTATCTTAATAAGATGAGGGGAAACATGATAAATTAGGCAAAGGAAAATCAATGCATTTTCCAGGTTAACTAAATGGTTCAAGGTGTTCTGAAACTACCATTAGGCCTACCTGTGGTACTAGATTTGTTTGTATCCTCTTCATTTTTGCTTTCGATCCTCTTTTGTTGGGTTTGACTTCTTCGTAGAATTCATGAGCTAAATCCCCATCTTCATCAAAAAACATTGATCTAGAATGAGGAAGTAAAAATTATGTTTGAAACAAGGTACTTGTTTGAGAGCTGATGAATTCAACGAACTATCAGAGTGTACACAGGACAAATAGCCTAGTTGCCTGTGTCAGAAACTACCACTGCGAGGTTGAACAGGCTTTTTGTAAACAGAAAATCAACAATCCTATCCCAAGATTTCCAATCTATAAATTTACAAGACCCTCACCTCAGCAAGCTATAATGTTTGTTTTAGTAAATTCAGTCAGTATTTCACCTTCAATGAATAATTTAAAAACACATCATTATAAAACATGAAATCAAAACTACAAATATAATTTTGTATTATAACTGCTAAATAGCAGTTTATCTAAATACTATACAGCCGCATGTGTAACTCACTGGGGGATACAAATTCTAGACCACTTCTTGATGAGCTAGAGACTTGAAATTTTCGGTGTTTTGTCAAACGCTCTACTTTCAAAATTTGGTAAATTTCCTTGAAATTTATACCGGTTTTCACTATTTTTCATACTTAATTAATTCCTTTTTGAAAATATTATTATTGCTTTGTATTCTTCTTACTTTACTTTAAATTTTACTATCTACATGTTTTTTCGTAACTTTACTCCTTAACCCCTAAAACTTAAGTTTAATGTCAAAATGTGAAATATGTTTACGAGCTCCATAACATTTACAAAGTTTTAAAAAGACTCTTTACATGTTATATGGGCACAAGGGTATTGAAACTATACACACTTTACTGTATTAGAGCTAACACCAAGGTGAATATAAAATGAACCATATAAAAATTCCCCTCCTCCCCTCCAAAATCGATTTCTCCCCTTATATCTTTCCTGTAGTCACTACGGGTGCATCGGTCTCTATCACGTTTACCCCCTTCTAGATTAGCTGGAGATTGAAATTTGGCACCATTGTAGATCTTGAGCTCTTATTTAAAACTGACATCTACAATAATAACCCCCCCCCAAATATCGAATTCCCCCCCCCCCAATGTTATTCTTACAGGTGCATCGGTCTAAATCACGTTTACCCATTTTTAGATTAGTTGGAGATACTGAAATTTGGCCCGATTGTTGGTCTTGCACCCTTTTCGGAAATTAACATTTGAAAATAATAATAACCCCCTTCCAAAATATTGACTTCCCCAATGTCATTCCTACAAGTGCATCAGTCTAAATCACGGTTACTCACTTCTACATAAACTGGAGATCAGAAATTTGGCACGATTGTAGGTCTTTAGGTCTTGCGTCCTTCTTGAAAAGTGACGTTTTACAATAACAACCCCCCCCCCCTAAATATAAAATTTCCTGTCCCTCAAACAAACTAGACAATTTTTAAAAGTTAAACTTTCCTATAATAACCCTTTTTAAGAATTCCGCCCCCAACCTATTCTTATGGGAAATAAATTTTTAAGCTTCTGACTTTTTTATACGGAACAGAAGCCTTTTAAAAACTACTTTTCGGTAATAACCATCTTACAGTTATTTTTATTTGTATTGCCTTCTTGACTTCTTTACGCTTCTTGGTCTTGGCCTTTCACCCCCCCCCCCCCCAAGTTTTGAATTCCCCCCTTTTATTTTTATAGGGAATAAGTTTGAAAGGGGCTGTTCAATATGTGTTACTAGAAATTTTTAATTTGCCAAGGATGTATAACAATAACAATAATTCAACACCCCACAATGGGGGACTGGGACTAGACTCTAATCTACTAATGACGACTAACAGCTAGGGGGCCTGGGGGCGGAGCCCCCAGCGAGCCAAAGGCGAGTTTAGACTTATACAACCCCATGTAGTGTCTCCTGATCAAAAACCACCTTTATCCTTGTTAAGTCAATTTTTCTTAGAAATATTTTTCATCAATTCAAATTATAAACATCTTTCACCAATAAGCACAACTCACTTACAAAGCACAACTGACAAATTCAAGCTCAGTTTAAACAAACTCACTCTTAAAATCACTGCCAACAACAGGAATGTTCGCCGTAAAGTGTGGGTCCCAAATATCTAGATTTAAAAGTTGCTTTCTTGAAAAAAGTTCAGAAATGAATCGTAGAAAAAAAAAACAAACTACAAGGCTCCTTTCAAACAGCAGTTCAAGGGCCAAATGAAACAAATCCAGTCAGAATTAGTATAGTCAAGTTTCTTTAAAATATTAGAAGTATTTATCACGGTCTGTTCTCAACAAGATTGTACAGACCACAGGTTTTGTACAGTTTAATTTTGCAGTCCAATTTTGTACTAAATCCAATAAAACACAATGAAAATAATCCTTCAACAGCTAAAAGTATGCAAATTCTCTACAAAACACAATTTATAAGCCTAAGTCATAGGGATGGATCAATGATTACCATTGCCCATTTGTGAAGGTTTACTTTACACCTTCGCCCAATACAACCGACTAATTTACTACAGACTAATTTAGTATTAACTAACTAAGTTAAACAAAACAGTTTGACGCTTGCCAAACGAAGGGGCGTAAGTATTATGGTCCTTCATCTTGCAAGCGATGGGTTGTGTCCAGCCAGACCTCTTACGAATAAAATTTTTAAACAAAAATATCAAACAAAAGTTTAACAGAGGCACCCAATAACTAATACGTAGATACAGGCTTGGATACACATTTGGCCTACTGAAGACAAATACCCTCAATCTAATACATCTAAAGAACATCTTACGTCTTAAGTAAACTAAAGGCCCAGATTTTTTTAATAGTAAAATAAATGGTTATAGATTGGTCTCATTTAGTTGCGTGTAAATTTGTTGAGGGTGGCCACGATACGTCTGAGCGGCGAGCGGCGGTAAGCGGCACCGCTCAGCGCTGCTCATGGTTCCAAGTCAAAACCGATTTTCACAAAAACGCCGCTCACCGCTCCGGTGAGTCATACTTTAAACTATACTATGGCATTTCGAACCAATGTGTAGGAGAACAAATTAAAAGGATATAAAGTGTGTGTTGTCATTGACACAAAGGTTAAAACGTAACGGTAAAAACAAGCAACCTCCATGCAACATGGAAAGACTGAACTGAAGGAGTGGGGGCTGCGGGATGGATAGTGATTTTGCTGGCTAAAAATTGCTGGTGACTCAAATAGGCCTACCCTACAAATTAAACTTCAGTCTGTTAGGAGTGAGCGCTGTTGGATTACACTCAATCAAACTCTTTACATCCAGCCTATTATATTTTCCCGTATATGAAAAAAAAGGGTTTGTTAGTTTAAAACATGACTAGTGTATATTCATGCCAGTAAAGGTTCTCCCCAGCAAAACTGTTTTAGTTCTTCTGCTTTGAATAGGTACCTACTTATCAACTCCCACAAATTTATCACCTCTCTGACACCCAAATTTCCCGAAGCTGGGAATCAGCTCAATTGATTGAAGAGAAGACTATAGGCCTACTATAATTATGTGGCAATAAAAAAATTGGGTGGGGGCTTTTTTCTGTCCCAAGACGCTAGGAACGAGCCCGGAATCGTTTTTCACATTACTTCCGGCTAGACCTAAGGGTTGCGGCAATATCACTTAGATAAAATCCATTGGTGACTTGGTGGGATTTGAACCCGGGATCTCAAGGACTGAAGTCCCACACTCTAACCACTACACCAGCTCGCTCCCGCTTTGGGTGGGGGGGGGGGGGTTAATGAGGGATTTTCTGTATTAAGATTCGATTCCCTTACTTTGTATCAAATAGATGATAAAAATATAATCACTATCAACAAAACTAGGTTATAACAAATTGTATTTCTTGTATAGATGGCCAACAACAATCAATTCAACTTTCGTTTCACCATGATGTATGGCATCCATAAACAACGCATTTCACATAGCAGCCTTAAGTCTACCAGCCGTCTTAAAAACATCAGGATCAGCAAAACACTCAGTAGGCCTAATGTTTACTTTTCGCCCACTCTGTGTTATTACTAAACAAACTTAGTCCATACTAAGCCCATACAAATCTATCTTAATATAAAACACATTTAAGTACACAAGTTGTATAGTATAATTTAGCGAATTAAGGAGGGTTGCGAGGACAGTTGATCAGAGTCCAAATAAATATTAAGTTTATAGTGATGGTAATAGCATGAGAACCTCCCATAAGTCATGTACTGTATGAAATTAAAAATAAACATAAAATCAGGGATGGACGAGATTGGATTTTTAGTTCGAGACAAGACGAGACGAGATTTTTTATTTCTCATAAAATTTCGAGACGAGATCGAGACGGGATTTCCCTTCTCATACACAACGGGAAATGCACGTTCAAAATTTTTACCTGATTTTTTAACATTGTTAGATGACTGTTTAAATACAAAAATAATGATAATAGGCAAGAATATTTACAATCTTTTATTAAAAAACATCAGCATAACATTTTTTTATAAATCACGCCTAACTTACTAAAAATGCCTACGATTAGGAAACATAGTGATATCAGTTAGGATAGAGTTCAACTTATCCTAAAATAAAATAAATCATAAAATAAAAGCAATACCTATTAATTTTTATAAAATAGTTACTTGTTTTGACTTTTTATGGTAATAAAACATTCCTCACACTGCTTACACTTTACAAAACTTCTCAAATGTTATTAAAGTAATATTATTAAAATAATGAAAGTAATATTTACATTTAAAGAATTAATTAAATAAGAACGCCTTCACAAAGGAAACGCAACTACAACACGCTCCTGTATTGCGGGTATTGCATTGACTTTCTGCAGGCGTTTTAATTTTTTTTTTTTTTTTTTTTTTTTTTTTTAATTCCCGTCTTGGTAAAAATCTCGGCCAAAAAGAAATCTCGTCTCGTGTAACGAGATTTAAAATTTCTCGAAAATTTCCCGAAATTTCGAGACTTGACCATCCCTACATAAAATGTAGTGTAGGCCTATACCTCTAAACGCATTGTATGCAGCTCTAATACTGCTTACCCTTGTCTAGATAAAACAATTGGTCCAGCCATTGTTTTCGTTGATTCCGAGAAATGGGGCTGACAATCACAGTCAGAGTATACACTTGGGTTGGAGGATGAGGTGAATATCTTTTTTACAAGCTTTGATCCGTTGGAACCCATGTCCTGGCAGATAACAGACACTGTTCTTCAGGTACTTTTCTAACTGATCTTCAACTTATATTATCTGAAATATAACACCAACATATTCTAAGTAGGTATAATAAGTAAAGAGGTAACATAAGTTAAAACTACATAGCCTAAAAATTATCAAATTATCTCTGATTGAAAAAAAGATGTCTAGATTATCATTTAATGTAGGCATATATAAAACCAAAATAAAGTGTTAATTCTAGATTTTGTAGGATTTATACTTTGGTTTCATTTTCAGAAGTCAAATAGGCCTATAATTTTGTAATCGTCAATATGGAATTAGCAAAAATATGTTATCATTATTGTTATTTTTGGATTTTAGGTAGTTTATTTTTTTTATTGACTGAAACATAGATGATATACTTGCCTTTATTTTTTATGCTAGCTTTATGAAATATTCATCTTCCTAATGGCTTACTCTACTTAGAATAGGCCTATCAGTTCTGTCAAATCTATGGAAACCAAAAACGAATGATGTTGTTTAGATTGTTGTAAGCTAATTGTAGGATTTATTTCTCCATTGCGAATGCCAGTTTACAATCATATTCATACATATAAATACAGTAAAAAGTAAAACCTCACTGAACCCATAGGTTGTAGAGTTTAGGGGTTGTCGACACACAACATCCACAACATTGAAATCTTTAATGGGTTTTTATAAATGAATTCATAACAGGCCTTTTTTTTACATATAAATTCCTTACTTACATGAATAACTCCTTGTTCAGCATCGTACGTGTTATTAATTGACCTGAAAGCACAAAAGATAAGGCCCCGGGTACAATACGAGCAGCGCCGCTCTGACATCGGGTCTCAATTAGTTGCGTGTAAATTTGTTGAGGGTGGTCTGAGCGGCGGTAAGCGGGACCGCTCAGCGCTGCTCATGGTTCCAAGTCAAAACGGATTTTCGCGAAAACGCCGCTCACCGCTCAGGTGAGTCATGCTTTAGTTTGGCGGGTCCAACATGCGATACGGGTCGATAAGCGAGGTGCAGTCCAAGGAATGTTTGTGGAATGACCACCACGGAAGTTTTAAAATACTTCAGTCACCAGAAAAGTATGGGACCAAGTTAGGGTTAAGGTTTTCTTAAAAACCAAGTTTTGGTTTTCTTTAAAGGCAAACAATTGTCAGATAGCAACAATAGTTGCACGTCTTACAGATAATCATAGTTTACCATTTTCAACTAAACTGACTCATAAAACTAAGGAAATTTGATGAGCGTTATAAATGTGCCGCTTGCATCGTAGCCACCACCGACACTTACGTTACCGCTCACCACTCGTATCGTACTAAGTCAAATAACACTTAGTCTATAATAATATATTTACACATACTGTTTACTCACAAGACGGTAAATACATAAACAATATACCATCTGGTAAGTGGTGATCGATTTCGATTCGACACTCCAATCATCATCAGACACATTCTACTACTTACCATCTTGTATATATGTATTTACCGTTATGTGAGTAAACAGCAAAAGTGTAAATATATTATTATAAGTGTTATTTGACATAGGCCCATATTTTGTGTTTTCAGGTTACTTACATGATATATTGAGTATTTTGATATATTGAGTACACAATATTCAAATAAATGTTGAATATTAAATGTTAAACTAAAGTCTAAACTAGAACTGTTCTAGAAAAATTGCTTTTTTGTGTACTCCCTGTTAGATTTTGACTGTCGAGTTATTGGGTGTTGAGTTAGTGAGATACTTCTGTACATAAATACAAAGCATACAGTAAAAGATAGAACTAGGTACTAGGCCTACCGGTACTACTAATAGATGGCTAATAAATGAATGACATATTGAAACAAATATGACAGTTTAGCAATTAAATTGTGTAGGCCTAGACATAACCAAAACTGTGATAACTTATTAGGCCTACCGTACTCTGAATCACAACATAAAAAGTTAACGTACAACAATAATAAATAGAATTATGCCTGAAAGTTGAAACTCAAAAAAAAAAAAAAAAAACCAGCATAACTCAATGTACCGTAATGGCCAAAAACTATTTGTGGAGAGTTTACATGACTTAAAAGCTGAGCTTATGGAAGGGGTTCAAGTAAACAAAATGCTGGAATAAGTTATTTGGGCAGAAATTTACAGGACATATAATAGAGGTAGTCCCATATTTTCCAGGTGGGGTGGTTAATTAGACATGCCACACAAAACTTCTCTATCCCAAGCATTCGTTGTTATTTTAAGTGCTTGTATTACTTTTGATTGAAAAGGAGATGTAAGATAAAAACATTAGCAAATATTACTTACTGTAAGTTATGTAGCCTATTATTCAACAGCTCTGCTAAAAGTCATTATTTATCATGTGTTTTATTTATATACAAATTATTAATCTGCCTAGTCTAATAAGGTAAAACTGTGTTTTGTTCACTTAAATTAACAAAGTTAGTTAACTTATAAGTTCCAGGTCCAGTTTATTTGAGTAATTTATGACCTCACTACAATGATAATACAGCCCAAATAAACTGCAATTCTGAACTGGGGTAGGCCTATAGATATGAACATGTTTAGTGATATTTTATTTTATTTTATGTAATTTGACAATGCCTATTCCTATGTACAACTTGGTCAATGGCAATAAACTTTCTTATTCTTATTCTTATTCCTATTTAGATAAGCAGTCTAACAAACTTTTTTTCTTATAACTTAAGAAATAAATAGGCTTATTGAAGAAGAGTAAAAATCAGTAAATCTACTATGGACGACTACGGAAATAATGAATACCAAACCATCCTATTTTATGTACATAAGTTAGGCTATACCTTGTTTATATTTCTAACCTAAAATTATTTGTTGTTGAATTTGGGTGAAAGAAATGTTAAAAAGCAATATAATACAACGTAGGCCTACTTGGCACTACCTTAAAAGAGGAAATAATGTTAGATGGCAAGATACAGATAAATTATAATCATTTAAAAGTAATTTATTGGTTCTAGATAGGCTAGCCGGGACCGCGTCTCGTTGTCCCGCCGTCTAGTTGTACCTCGAGGCCTAGGGACATCTAGTCGTAGGTACAACTAGACGTAGGTACAAGTAGACGGTGGCACACCTGACTAGTTGTACCTGCAGATTTTTAGGAGGTACAACTAGACGTAGGTACAAGTAGACGTAGGTACAACTAGACGTGTAACCCACCGACAAGTAGTATCGCCTAGCTTGTACGGATGCGACCAGTTGTCCCTACGACTAGTGGTCCCTACGACTAGTGGTCCCTACGTCTAGTTGTACCTACGTCTAGTTGTACCTACGACTAGTTGTACCTACGCGTATTTTGCGTCCTTATAGTCTAGTTGTATCTATCCTTCAATTCTTTACCCTGTTTAATTGATTACTGCTTGAGTACTTTTTAATAATAACCTTAATTAAATCAGAAACTGCAGTGTTCCGAGTCAATTGAGTATGATTGGCAAATATTTTTCACCACACTACGATGTTTTAGTAGTTTTACAGACGTTAATTGGAGGAAAAGCTACGCATTGCTGTCCAGGGTCGAAATGGCAGCTATAGTTGTAATAAAATTTTTCCAGCCCTAGTACCGAAAATCGCTTATTTAATTAAAACATTTATATATATTATTAAATATACAAGCAGTATATCCTTAATGAATTGCAATAGACCGCTGCCTAGCAATTATGTATTACTATTTTTGCTGATTCCTTTAAATATTTTTTCACATAACCTTAAAGTATTTGCATTGATTAGTGTGCATTTCTTATACTGTAGTTTACAATGGATTTCCCAGTGAACAATGAACAATGAAGTTGAGGTCCAGTGGTTGAAAACTCGACCAACAATATGCAATGTACAGACTTCTCTATTTAACACACACTCTAAATAATACATGTGATTGGAATGTTTTCCATTTCAAACAAACTAGAGAAGCTAGTTAAACTATATAAACTAAATTTGATACTGAGCTAGGTATGTGTACACTGGCTATGTAGTCTGCAACTAAGCCAAGATTAGTTTTACTAAGAACTAATAAGCGCGCGCAAAAAAGTCATACCTGGGTTATTTTTTCAATGGTATTTCAATAGTGAGCTTTCATTACGTTTGCGTAGAAGGTAATTAAGATGTGTTTTTGAGAAAAGTTAGTAGTTAAGTGTGAAATAAACTTATTTGTCAAAGTATATGCATCAACAACCAAACTACGCCAGTTTACGTAATATCCATAAGAATAACATATACATTTTCAATTTGAACTTGTTGTAATATTCTCCGTGACTAATACCATACAAAAACACTTCATTATACTCAATTACTTGTTTTTGTAAACTCTGAATTTATTTATTTAAGATAATTGTATTAAGTTGTTGTTAAAGCTAGTTAATGTTAGTTTTCTATAGAATGGTAGAGTTTAGTTAAGTGGAAAAAACAATGATAGCAGATCTTGACAAGAAATAAGGAAAACCAAAGTGTAATATGGATAAGGACTGACCAAGGGACACAGTACATTGTTATCAAGAACAGGGTTTTCTCAATGAGCTGCAAACAAGCAAAATTTTCCTGGCTTTTGTAGCAAGTAGTTTATAAAAAATTTTTGTAAGATTGTTAGATTTTTAAAGAAATGAAATAAATCCCTTAAACTGGTGACAAGTTGAAGGGGAGATACACTAACCGTAGGTACTACTAGACGTAGGTACTACTAGACGTAGGTACTACTAGACGTAGGTACAAGTAGGCGTAGGTACAATTAGTCGTAGGTACAAGTAGTCGTAGGTACAAGTAGTCGTAGGTACAACTAGTCGTCGGTGCAAATAGACGCAGACGTATGAGTTACAAGTAGACGGTGGTGTACTCAACTAGTTGTAAGTACCTGCAGATTTTTAAGAGGTACAACTAGACGTAGAGACAACTAGACGTAGGTACAACTAGACGTCCGCACCATCGTCAAGTTGTACCTACAGCTTTGGACGAGGTACAACTAGACGCCTGTCACCAAAATGCAGCAGGTACAAATAGACGCCTTTACAAGTAGACCCGGCTAGCCTATTTTAACTAATGAAAGATTTGTGATCCATGAAAATGTAGGGACATAGCCAATATTTCTGCATTGACAAACTTACCTCCAGATAGAGAATATATTGTAGACCAAGAGGGCCTTAGCACCTTAACAAAATCTTTAAAAAATTACATCTGAACAAAATCAAAACTACTATGACCTTGAAGTAGTTCAGAGTTAACATGTAAATTGGGTTATATACTGTTCATTTATCAATGTCTTATGCACTCGTTTATTCATAAGCAATACACAATCAAAATAGTTTGAATAATTTTGCTAGCCAATAGTCAAAATGTTGAGGCATAAATATTTATCAGAGCATAACCTATAAACTATTTCATCTGTCCCCTTTCTCATTAGAAGCAAGTTGATCACACAGACACTTATTATTTGTACTTATCAGTCGGTTGTGTGTTGTGTGTTATTCCAAAACACAGCTATTCATTCACGAACAACAGTTTCACATCCACAGACCAACAGTATTTAGAGAGGATAAATAAATAGGACATAGAATATTCTACATTTTGATCTTCTTGTTTTAGTTAAATTAAAAATTATTATTAAAATTCGTCTGCTTCGCCTCTACTCCTCTGTGTGTAGTTAAGCTCACTGATGATCAGTGACAGTCAGCTGTTTAGAGCTGTTAAATCACGTGTTTTTGTATATTCACTAAACTATACAAAAACCTAGCTAGAATGGTAACCATGTAAACTCGAAGACCATTTATTTCATTATGTATTTAATCAACCTTTATTTAGACTAGAAAATAAGATGACGAAACACACTAAGGTATTGACAAGATTTATTCTCTTATAGCACAAAATGTCTAATAAAGATTCAAATATAGTTTAAAACATTTATTGGTGCGTTTAGGCTAAGCTAGGTGTTTGATACAATTGCAACGATCTCTTAATAATCTATACAAGTTGACAAATTAAAAGTTTATAGATTTTTGTTGGTTTAATAAGATTATAGGTAATATTTTTATTGCTGAAATGCTTGAATTGTAGCAGTGTGTCAATAGATTGACGGCAAGGTGCCACCCATCGATCTCTATAAATTCGGTGCCACCAGGCATGTTGTTGATCACGGCCGACTTTAACTCCCACCTAAGTTAAAGGTGGCCGTGTGTCGAAAAGGTTCCACCCCGAAAACCCTGAGGTGGTGTGGTGGGTCGTGTATGTCCCGGGTACGCCCCCGTCAACCCGCCCCTTATGCTTTGGCCACCAACCCCGTTGTATTGCTATTTTGCATAGTTAAATCTATTTTACTTTGATTTTGACAGTTATTAGAGTGAAAGTTTATTGAATCATCAACATTTCTTTTGCTTTTCGTTTTTCTATTACGTTTTATGGGGATTATGGGGATTACTTAGGTCTTTTGCATTCTGCAAAGTTTAATATACCCATATAACACCAATGTTAAACCTTCCCACCTTATATAAATTCAAGTTAGGACAGTATTTTACTTAATTTGTAACTAATATTTTTCTTAACCATAGTAGGGCTGTACCACAAAGTAAATATAATATGCTGAATATTAATATGAAGTAAATATAGTGAATGGATCGCTATCCATTTCGAAGCACTTCAATAAAATTGCTGTAAATCGAAAATTACTCATCTGATTTCAATACAGTAGTCTTTATGTAGTGATGATGTAGAAAAATTTCTTTATATTCATAAGGCTTTGGCAAATCCAATAGCTATAATATTAAGCTATAATACGGACGATTCGTTTTCATATTGTTGCTAGACAGCTGTCGTCTACACACTTGACTTGCCGTCTGCAAACTTTGTTTAGGCTTATGTTTTGTTTTGTATAACTCTTTGGCGTTCGCAAATGATAATTTATATTGAGGTAAGTTATTATATGTGCAAGCAAGTCATTAATATAAAGTGCAATTCTTCTACCATACTTTTTTGCATAAATTCTGAGTCTTTTATTCAAAAGTTATTATTGTTACCTTTTGAATATTTATATATTCAATCATGAGAGGTCCGTGAAGTTGGCGTACCCATATTAGCGTATCCACTTTTGATCATACCAATCGTTAGTTCTCGATAGTTCCCAATTTTTTTTCGTTAGTTCTAAAAAAATAATCAAGTTAAAGCCGATAATAAGTGGGTACGGTTCTAGCGCGCGCCGTTTTCTGGTGAGAAATGTTTACATCTATATATCAATCGTTAGTTCTTCGTTAGTTCTCGATAGTTCTCCAATATTTACGTTAGTTCTCAAAAAATAAAAAGTTACGAGGCATACAAAGTGGGTACGCTAACTTCACAATTACCTGTACAATTTCCAGCGGGCACCGTTTTCTGACTATAAATGCTTCTATACACCAATCTTTAGTTCTTTGTTATTTTTCGATAGTTCTCAAAAACGTACACTCAACTATTATTTCAAACATTCACAGCATCTTTCTTAAACAGTTTAGAAATACGTTCAAAATTAAATGTGTTAGATTATTAATATATACCGAGAATAAATATTTTTATCTTATGATAAATTAGTTTTAATAAAATAATTAATTAAAATTTAGTGTAATGATTTGCAAAAAGGGGGTTTTATTCAAGTTTCATGCCTATAGCCGGCTCCAGACTGTACCCACGCCAAGTACAGAACAGCAACTATCGCCGAATCGCGAGTAGTATTACAGCAAATGCTCGTGCTCGTGTTTTCCGTTCATTGCCGGTATTTTTGCACACATCAAAGTGAAAGAATATGTTTGCCATTCCCGTAACGAACAGTTGCTGGGAAAACGTACACTCAACTATTATTTCAAACATTCACAGCATCTTTCTTAAACAGTTTAGAAATACGTTCAAAATTAAATGTGTTAGATTATATGTGTTAGATTAAATAACAAGACAACTAGATCGCCAAACGGCAAATATGTCGTGCTTTGGGTGTGTCTGGAGACAGCTTATTTTGTTGACGGAAGAACTTCAAATGGCGTTTGACACGGCTTAGGAAAAGTTGAAAATCACTCTAATCTAGTAATATATAGGAGTTTCACTAAATTCATGACAAACTTTCCGTATAATATTAATATAACCACTTTATCAACCATAACTTTGTTTTATTCATTAGAACTAACAAAAATCCTGGAGAACTATCGAGAAGTAACCATTAGTATTTATTTTATTTTATTTTATTTACATTCCAACGGATAGCTCCATTTTAATATTTAGTTCAATTATATATGAAATAACATAGAATACTTGCTTACTACTAGCCTAGTTATGCAATAGTTTACTGAAAACAATGTAAATGAATTAGTTAATAAGCAAAACAAAAAAGAAAAACGGCAACAAGATGGCAAAAATGAGGGCAAACAACAAAACGAGCGGAAAACAACAATAACAGCATAGCAAATAAAAAAAATAATAAAAAGAATATTTCGTCAGATGCAGTTGCACGCTAGAATTTCTGTTGGTGTGAAATTAGCGTCCTCATTCGGCTTCAACTCATCAGCTGCAACTTTTTAATTTTTTTAGAACCAACAATATAAATCGGTGAGCCATCAAGAACTTACGATTAATATTAAGATATAGGCACTTTTAGTCAGACAAGGGTGCACGCTAGAAATGCTTTGGGTGTGAAGTTGGCATAACCACGTTTAAGACCTTATTGCCTTTTTAGTTTTTAAGAACTAGCAATAATATTGGGGAACAAACAAGAAATAACGAAGAACTAACGATTGGTATATAGATATAAGCGTTTTTAGTCAGAAAACGGTGCCCGCTGGAAATTTTATAATTGTGAGGTCAGCGTAATCACTTTGTATGCCTCGTAACTTTTTTATTTTTTGAGAACTAACATAAGTATTGGAGAACTATCGAGAACTAACGAAGAACTAACGATTGGTATATATAGATATAGGCATTTATTGTGAGAAAACGGTGCCCGCTGGAAATTGTATGATTGTGAAGTTAGCGTAGGGGAAGGTCGGCTAAAATGGGGACTCTAGTGGTTTCCACATTATATTTCGCTTACAAATATTGCTAAACTTTTGAAATTTAGACAGAACAAGACTACACTAATGTGTTGACAGAAACTGGTAGCTTTTGATCAATTATTCCCTAGGTATAACAATAAAATTATATATTTTTTAAATGCATACATTGTCCCCGTTTAAGACGACCTTTCCGGTAAAATGGGGACGCCATAAGAGCACATGCAAAATTGAGTTTTTTTAATGAAAAAGCATTTTTATTGAATACAAAACACATCAAACTCATCATATTACCTCTTAAAGTGACTAAACATGTTAGAAAGATTGTTATAGAAAATAAAAACTACGAATTTCTCAACTTAATAGATATTTTAACATATTTATGGAGTTGAAGTTTGTTTAATTAAACTTTACCATATTTATATCCTTAAGCATATCAGTTAGAAATTTATAAAACGTATAAACTAGTAAAACACTGGTTCATGCCAAAAGTGTTTAATGTGTATACGTTATTATCCTACAATCTGTCCAAAATGGGGACATTCTTATAAAACGGGGACGTCCCCATTTTCTCCTACCATGTACGTCCCCGTTTGACCCGCCACTGTATTAATAAAACAAACATGGCGTACCTAGCCTCCACTTTGAGATTTTTGGATAGAAGAAACGACAAATTGTAGTCTAATAACTGAAGATAGTGATCAAACACTTACTTTTTTTAACTCTCAATGTTGGGTACGTAAAAACACAGTTGAGACACGAACAAAAATCCAAAGAATAAATCGTCAAATATTTAAAAGTGTGCAACATGAAACTTATAGTCAGTATATCAACGGTAACTAGCACAAATTAGAGTGAAATGGTTAGTTCGCAATAGTTCGTCAAAGATCAGCTGATAGCAGCACTAGTTTAGCAGTACCGGAATGTCCCCATATTACCTAGCGTCCCCATTTTAGACAACTCTCCCCTACCCACTTTGTATGCCTCGTAACTTTTTTATTTTTTGAGAACTAACAAAAAAATTTGGGAACTATCGAGAATCAACGAAGAACTAAAGATTGATATATAGATGTAAACATTTCTCATCAGAAAACGGTGCACACTAGAACCCGGAAGTGTGAAGTTAGCGTACCCACTTATCGGCTTTAACTTGTTTATTTTTTTAGAACTAACGAAAAAATTTGGGAACTATCGAGAACTAACGATGAACTAACGATTGGTATGATCAAAAGTGGATACACTAATATGGTTACGCCAACTTCACGGACCTGCTCCATGAGGACTCTATAACTTTTTCCTACAGTTACCTGACAAAGCAGGCTATCTTGCACTGATTAACTTATAGCATGCAAAGTAGTTAATTGCTGCATTTACTTACTTTTGCACACTCATTTTACTTCGCCATCGCCTCACTCCAGTATGCTAACCAAACAACACAAAAAGTGTGCTTTTATAAGGCAAGTAGTACGCTTAAGCTTGAAAATAAGACTTAAGATACTATGACGACTATGTTCAGCTGGTGCAGCGTTTCACAGCTTTTGAGTTGAAACTGAGTTTGGAATCTAAAACATGTTTTAGCGAATTTCCCATATAGGGAATAAGCTATTACCGTAGTACTCATGGTAAGACCTGGACCCGGGACCGATTTTTTTTTTCGTTTTGAGGTCCCTAGAGGCCAAAAACACCATCCGTTCAAATTCATATATATATATATATATATATATATATATATATATATATTTATATATATATATATATATTTATATATATATATATATATATTTATATATATATATATATTTATATATGTGTCCGTTAGCGCGATAACTCGAGCAAAAACGATCCGATTTTGATGAAATTTGGTACAAACGTGTAAACCTACGTTTATTCGAACGAGTTCGCGAACCAGCATGATCGGACCATGGGAACGGGGGTTTATGGGGGGTTTTATGGGGTAAAAATGGGTTTTTCCCACTTTTGACTCAAAAAACATAAAATTTTGCAATTTCTTTCCAAACTATTTTGTAGAGCTTAAAAAACAAATAATTTAGTATATTGAAGTGTTATAATGCACCTAATGGTTACGGAGAAAATTCCAAAAAATTGTAAATTTAAAATTCCCATGTTATTCTTATGGAGAATAAGTAAACTGTTGTAGTTTGCTTGTTTATTAACATTTTTTGCCCAAATTTGGAAAATGTTTTTATTTCTTACTAACATTTTACATAAAAAACACTTTTACCCTCCCTGTTGCAGCAAACCTAAGTATGTGTTAAACTGATTCTATTTAAATAGGGAATAAATGTTGATATTTTTAAGGAGACATTTTAGTGTAAACCCAATCAGGCAAATGGAAATTCGCTTAGTCTGCAGGTTTGCTGCGGCGGGGGTATTTTATACTTTGAAAGACTAATTATTTATATGCTTTATAGTAACTGTAGGAAAAATATAATGTGTAACATGAACGCAAAGTTCCTTTGCTGCACATAAGAGAAATGTTTAGGCACGAGCCAGGTGAGCTTGGAAAGTTTCTCGAGTGCCACTTTGTGTACTAGTTCTGCTGTTGAATAACTAATTGTAATCTTGGCTGAAAACTTAACTATTGTATTTTTCTTCAATAATGCAGGGGTGCCCACAGGGGGGTTTGATGTCACAATTTGCGACATCAGATTTTTTTGTTGGGATTTTATGATTTTTGGGGGATTCAAGCCATTGGTTGGTTGGAAGCACATAAAAGATTTATCAAACTTATAAACACACCCATTCTATTTGTGTAACAATCAGCTGTTCACGGAAATCACGGAAACGGATGTACCAACCATTAAGTTTTGCACCATTCCTTTTTAATAACTCTGTATGTAGCTATCTTCAGACTAATGACGTAGCCCTTAATGCTGACGCAAATTTGAGCTAGGTCAACCGAAAATGGACCAGGTCATGCTGGTTGTAAATTTTTGGATAACAGATCATGGTCTGTTGCTTGCTTTGAGCAAAACAGAGATTGTCATCTAAGTACCTTTGTGTCATGGTGGACAACAAATTGAGCTGTACGGACCAGTTTTTTTGTATCAGGTGACATTCAAGGCTGCTTTCGCATACCACACATGTCCAAACTGGCTGTTCTGAATCAAAAATGATTAAATAAAAAATTGCTTTTTTGAGAGGCAAAGTTAGGTGTTGCAGGTTTTCTCAACCACTTTTAAGCCAGACACTACCAAGACAAGAAGATAGTAATTTTGTCTGACTTAGGTGGCTTTTAGAGCTCTTTATTCAATTGAAGTCATTTCAAAGCTATAGTTTGGGAGTGTTTCAACGCCCATTGCAAACTTGTAACACTCATCTCTTTAAATCTTGGTTGGGTTCCAGGTCATGTAGGCATAGATGGCAAAGAAGTGCAGATAAGCTCGGTAAAAAGTGCAAGTATGCAATTCCCTGGACCGGAACCAATCCGTGGCATTCTGCAAAGTCAATCATGCAATTAACAGATGGTCCAGGGAATAACACCTTGCCTAACGATGAGGCGAAATGTACATCAGTGAACAACAAAATCAAGAACAAATAGCAACTACCAAATAAAAAGGTAACTTTATTATAATACTATCTGGAAACTCAGGTAACAGTATAACATATTACATATGAATATGTTGGCTTAAAGGGGGATTTGGTTTTACTCAAGCAATAAGGTTGTTCACTCGTGGTTGGTCAGTTCTTAACTGTGTAAAAGTTGCACTCAATTATACAGTTGACAATAACCACTTATACCTTTTTGGTGTATTATTTTATTAATATTTCTTGAGAACCTGTAGTTTATTTAACATTCTTTAGTCTGGTGTTACTATAGTCTTATTAAGTGCATGTGCTTTGATAGGAGAAGTAAATATTTTATATACACATTTTTGTTATATTTGAGTAACTTTTTTATTTAGGTAAGTCTTAAAAGTCACAAAAGAATTAATCGTTTTGGGGGGGTTCCAGAATCATTTCAAGAGCAATGTGTGTGTGGTTTTAGCTCAAACTGATCTTGGATCTAAAGAACCAACTAAACAAGTGTAACTGACTGTGTAAGTGTTGACTTAGGTTAAACAATTAAATTAGTTTGAATGAGTTTTCTGTATACTAAAAAAAATATCAACACTATTTAAAACTACGAATGAATAATGTTATCTGAGAAATTAATCTGATAATTTATTCGAGAAATATTCTCTAAAGTTTGTTACATGGAGTTGAAGAAATACTTGTATTGGTGTGTGTTGGTTTGTTACACTTCAAACCATTGCTGTGTGTTGTCTCTTAGAATTTCACATACTACCGGTACACATTTCTCTCCTCATAAATTAAAATGATTGTTTACAAATTTTTGGAGTTTAAATTGGTACAGTCAATGTTAACATATCCCGAAAAAATAATTTATATCCTGAAAAATAAGCTTTTATTTTTAAAACCGCCGTTTCTGAAACTATTACTGGTAACTCAATACTAACACATCATTATTACAATGATTTACTTTCAGAATAAAGTTAAGGTGATATGCCTCAATGGAATTTACTTTTGTTAGAGTATCACATTTGTAATTAACAACTTTATTAAATCTATTTTAGGTCAGTAAAATTATAAGTTAAAGGTTCAATAAACACTTGTATTTCTCAGTATGAGTAGCCTATGTTGCTTTTCATTCCAAACAGCCTAGGCAATTCACTGAAAAGCAAGAATTGTTTAAGCATTCCACTGGAATTTATAAATAATCAAAGTGACAAAAGTCAGCAAAAACCTCGCGGGTTTTGTTTAGCCACTCAGCAATCTAGGTGACCTGAATAGTGTTATTCCAGTCCAAAATGTTCATCCAGACTGTCTTGGTAAGCTGGCTTTATATTTTTGTTTGTTTTCATTCAATTTGAAAGAGATTTGGTAAACAAGAGTTGCTTTGTTTACAGTGTAAAGAATAAAGAATAACACCCATTCTAACTGTCTATTACAATAAGTTTCAATCATTATCATATTTAAAATCTTTAAACGAATACTGTATTTTAATATTCAGAAAATTAACATCACAGAATAGTACTGTTTGATTTTTGGACAATGAGACTATTTTACAATTGATTGGTTTGGTTTATTTGATTTATTATACTGACTTGAAGCTAGTGTAATGTAACCATCAAATAGTATATTTATAACAACTAGTTTCTTTGGGAAAAGTAATATGAAAGGCAAATTGTATGCTTTTATAACATAGACTGTATAATTGTCTAAAGAAACTTGAATTGTACTTATACCTCTGAATAACTCCAATTATTTGGATGAATGGGACTGTACCCCATCTGGATGGTCTGAAATTTGGATGGTTACATTTTTTAAGTTAAAGAGCACATGGTATAAAATAAATTGAATGTAGTTTTACGCCAAATTCAATAATATATGTTGTGTTTGACTTAACAGTACAAACAGAAACACATCATTAAACAATAGCATGAAACACATCATGTACCGTACTTCCCTACATTCTAAATTACTTGTATTTCTCATAAGGTATTACCGGAAACTGCATAATCTGCAATGAACCTCTTTTGGCTGATTTAATTATTAGCTTATTCTTTTTAAGATAGTAGATTTCTACCGTTGGTTGCTGTACTGCCATATTTTTGTATCTTTATTTAGTAAAAAGTAAAATATTTAGTGAGATATCTTGTTTTTAAAAATCATTGAAATGATTTAATGAAAGTTATTATGTAGTGTTGAAAATTGAATAAGTAAAGAAAAAGGGGAGTAAATAAATTAGTAAATCCTATGTGAATGTTACAAAAATGGGTACAGGTCTTACCATAAAACGGCAATAGCTTATTCCCTATATAGGAAATTCACTAAAAGGAATGCATTAATGGGATATTGTAAGGAGAACTCAGGTAGAAATGATAATTGAGTAAAAGCAATATAGGCCTAAATGTTTTATTTCCTTTGTTTTAGATTTGCACATCAGTACATGTGGTGATTGGTTCGCCTTTGATTGGACAGATTGTAAATGACTTCTTAAACCCTCAACCACGTCGGCCATACAACCCTCCGCCTCAACCAAGTCGACCATACAACCCTCCGCCTCAACCAGGTTTGATACTACAGATCTAAGTTTTTAGGGATGTTGAAACACATAGCCATAGCATCTTCTAACACAAGACCGTGTCTAACAACGTGACAATGTCGCTATCTTCTCTACTTTCCACAGTCTCTTTACGACTGCAAATGTAATTAGCCACACATTTTGCTCCATTATTGTTTGGCTATGGCTATGCTACGCTCATTGATGTAAAAACTTTTCAATAATGTAAGGTATACACATTGAAAATCACACCTCTAAAATGTCTTATGTATTTTAAATGCTTTTACAAATTTTTAATTTAAATTTGAACACACTCTCAATAAAAGAAGAAGGGTTAAAGGTAAAGACACCCAAAGCAAAGTTTAAAACTTTACCATTGTAAAACACTATTCTAGACACACCTTTTTCAGGCTCTTAAGTTAATAAAACCTTTATAGATGTGCCACTAAAATTCAACACATTGATTATTCTTAAAGCTACATGTTTTAAATTCAGGGAGGCTAGACCTCCACCTATAGCTAAGCTAGTTAGTTCATCAAATACAGGGATTCCAAACTGCCAGTATCAGTTGCTACTAAGGTAACTTATGTCAAAGTATTCCCCCTAACCACAAATAACCATATCAAGGTAGTGGTAAAATTTTATTTGGTGTAAACGGTTTTTGTTTTTTTGTACAGAGTTTCAAATTCAACTAAGTGAAATTTAATTTTTTTAACACGTTCGCTGCGGGCGGTAGCTCCGCGCTCCGCCACGCTGCGGCGCGCCGCCTGGGCGGTAATGTGCACCCGCCAAACTTATTCCGTTTGAGTGCAGCCGCACTCCGGTGTAGGTCGGAGTATTTTTGTCCGTGCTTCATGTATGACAGTGGCAGTTTTGTGGTGCAATCCATTTGTAATAACCGTTACTCGTTCCGAAACTATACCTGGTGGATTTTGACTCACTCATTACGTTTGTTAACTGTAATTTTGTGCTATATTAATTTTGTTTTATTGTAAAATAATGGCATCTACTGTGGGTGTTTAGCAAACTACGTCGACTCTTGTCATGAAACAGGACATCACCACACGTTATTTGATATTCGTCATACCGAAATATGAAAGCCAATAGCCCGGCAATCGGGTTTGTTCGACGCTGCGGGCTGCGCCGCACTGGAGCTACGCCTGCCATTTGATGGGCAGCAGCGAACGTGTTAAATTAAATGTTCAACTTTGGATTCTTGAGAGGCCCAGTAACACTATAAGATTTATAAATTAAGAATACTTGAAAAAGGTTTAACGAAGAGTATCAATAGGGAATGCTCAATAATTGTATAATAGTAAGGAATGGTTGAATTTGAAATCAAAAAGTTATGAAGAAATCCAACTTTTATCAAGTCACAATTTAAATGAAAATATTAGCTAGTTTTTAGATTGTCATGAAACTCTTGAAACTGTGTAAATGTCTCAATAAACCTAAATTTGTCCGTCAGTGAGTTATAATAAAATCTGATTTGCTTGCTACTCAAATCAGCTGAGGGATCTTCCTCTGGCGAATAACAGGCTTTATTCAGCTGACAAGAACTAGCAAACCATTCTGAACAAGTATTTTATTCATACTCCTGTTTTTTATATGATAAATGATCGAGAGTACAGACTTTGAGAAAATTAATTAGACTATCAAGGTTCCCTAACAACTGATAATGCAGAGATTAGTTATTAGCAAATTTAATTAAACTTTTTGAGTTTATTAATAACTTCTGTTGAGGAGTAACACTATTATCAGCAGATTAACTGAGCCCATGGGAAATTAATTACTAATTATCTGTTCTGGAAATTATAGCTTCATTAGGGGATATGCTATCAGAAGACCAGACTAAGAGTCCAATCGTGCCCAGAGCTACAGACGGCATCCTCGGACTACCGAAGATACCACGACCTCCTCCACCTCCACCTATACTGCCCAAGCTGCCAAGACCTAGGCCTCTCACACCGGTTGAGGTAAGATAACAGTCAATAAAGCGAGGGTCTCACACAAACTCCTTTTGCAACCAAGCAACCTAGTTCAACCCTGACTTACTTCCCTAACTACTATTATAGTTGATCCCTACCCCTATTAGACATTTTGTCTCAACGTAATATCCCATAATTATTTTTATAAAAAATCTGTGAATCAAATTTTGGTATTACATTTCAGTGGTCTCATGTTTCAACCCCCTAATAAAGTCCATCACCAGTTGACGAATGGGTGTGGAGAAAAGAGCATAGACATGGAAAGTGTGTTTCAACAAGCAACAGATTTCAATAGGGGTTGACTACCTTCTCACAGAAACCTAATTACAGAATGCAATTCAAACTAGGTAGAGCTTAGATTTTCCTTCACATCAGGAAAATGATCATTGTATAGGGTTGGGAACTGGCTAGAATAGTATTGAGGAAAGTAATAAACTCGATGGTGTTGATTTGAACTAGCTCGCTTGGCAGCAACTGGAGTGTATTATTAATTTTAATTCATACATACAACACTCGTGAATATATGCTGTTAATCATCCCTCTGGGTTTGTTTTTATTTTAATCTGTTGACACTTCAATACAGGGTCCATTCAATAAGTATCGGGACTGGTTCACTGTAGGCTTAAAAGAGCAGTGGAGGGGGGTCCATCCGGTTGGGTTTGAACGGAAAATCTGCGTCAAAGACCCTTGCCCTCAACTCGATCATTTTCTTCACAATACTGGAACACCCAGGTAAATAACGTTGTCCAGAAAATTTTGATCTTGCTGGAAGCAGTCCCAAATTTCTTGAGAAATCTTCACCTTGACAGTTTTTGTTCCTTGCTCAAGGACTTTTGGCACCAGCTCCGGGTTCCCACTGAATGGCCGGTCTTCTCACTGCTTTGGACGATGGTTAGACGCCTGTCAGAATCAAAATTTTTTTCACTTTATTCACATGAGCATCAGTTTGAGCGGTCGTCCAATGTGGTACTTGTCTTCCAGGAGTTCCCAGCCTTCCTTAAACATTTGATGCCTGACCTTATAATGAGAATAAGCAGAGAACATCTCTCTATTATTAGAAAATCAATGCCTAATGCCTTGAAACTTGATAAAAACAAGGACAACTAAATATATATTCCAATATTTTACCAACTCAATTTGTAATTTGTAGAATCGCTCCAAGCACGAATCCTCTTGCACTAATAAATTACTGAAATTGATACATTATGAATTACTGGAGGTATAGTTTTAGTACCTTTACGGATTGTTAGCTATCACTCGCAGCTCTGCGTTTGTTGCTTGTCTGTAAGTTAAGGTCTCCAACAAACTCCAGTCAAGCAAGCCAGTTTAACACCGGTTCATGTTCTTATTTTCCTTACTAACTATTTCAATTTATCTCTACCTCTATAACAAACCATTAGTCTCGTCGTAGTAGCTGATAAAGATGTGAGGGATGCGAGGGATGCGAGGGAAGCTACTACCAATCATAAATTGTGTTCTGCGGATAAAGGTATTGAAATCCATTGCCAGGTGATGGATGTGTATGGAGAAAAGTGTACAGACGTAAACAAATTGTGTTAGTGGCTTAGGGAGTTTGCAGAATGCTTTATAAATTTTGACGACGAGGGCTTTCCATTAAAGTTGAGGAATCCTTTCTTAGATCAACGTGTTTGGGACTCATAGGGTTTACCGTTGTTCTTGGTAGTCTTAGTGACGTTCCTTAATCTAAGTGAAGTTCTATAATCTCTCGTTCAGCCACACTGTGATCTTTGCTAGCTGCCAATCACAGCAGGAGCTACACCCTGAAAAGTGCAGGCACTAAAAACTCACACCACATGCACAATTCTGCAGCCGTATTCAACATCTAGGAAATCCACCTTTAACATTGATCAGGGCTTCAAATAAAACTGATGAACAACAGCAGTTGGCCTACAATGTGCAAAACATTATAAACACTGAGCAAATGTTTCAGCCACTTCCAATCTCCTTCAACCCCTTATGTAAGTTTTCTATGTCCAAACATCGTCCTCCATTCAAATATGTCACCTGGCGTTGAAATTTTATATTTTATTTTATATTTTATAAATTTTTTATTTTATTTTTGACTCCCTAGATTAAAGACAGATACCTAATCACCAAACACCATAAATTCACACTTGACAGGGGCTTAGATTTTCCCTCATATCCTTATTGGATGATACATGAGTCAAATCATCACATGAGGTTGAGATTGGCTAGAATAGTAGTTTGTTGTAGAGATTATGCTTGCTACTGCCAGATATGAATGCTGCCATGTTCCATGGTCCTTTAATGTGGTCCAGTCCACTGCATACAACCCCTAGTTTCTGCAACTATCTCTAATATTAATATTCCTTAGGTACATAGTAGTATTTTTTTTTAAATCCTAAATCAATGGTATCATTTGACGTCCTTGAACCAGCATAACACTTTTTAAGATATTTATAAAATAGTACTGTATTGGCATTCCAAACGGAACGTCAGTCTAGGCAATGATCAATGGTGAGGTGGCACTGTAAACATATGTTGTCTAATTATGATGGCTATATCGGTCTATAAGTCAATATAGATTCTGCAATAACTGCACATAATTCTGAGGACTATGGTATGCTGGAGTGTATTTTTTTTAAATGGATTGTATTATGTATACTATGAGTTGCACCATCTTGCTTTTTCCAACAGAGTTGTTTAATTGTTGCATTCTGATATGTTTTACTGTTTTAATTTTACAACTACTACAAGCTATAAACAACAGCAATTAATTTGTACCGGTATTAACAATGAATTTTGATAAAAAAAACCTCATATTTTTCAATTTAAAACACACAAATACCCACAGATTTTAAACAGCTTTTTAAAAAATATGGCAGCATAAGAGTTCTTCTGTATTTTTTCTCTACACTGGCAACACAACTAAACTATATTGTATACACAGTCAAAAAGTTCCCGGAATGAATTTGCATACATTTAGCGCGATCAACAGTGGCAAATTCGCCTTGCAGTAGTTAGTAGGACTCTTGGGCAGGGAATATCAGCAGTGGGGGTATAGCTGACGAGCCGTAGTGCAGCATTTTCAAGCGCTTTTCGTGTGCCTGCCAGTCTACTTCGTCGGTTACCGTTGGTCGTGTACCTACCACAAACTGAGTGGCACAAACTTGGTCGGGGTTCGTAGAGATAACACCATGTTTCGTCACCAGTCACAATTTAATTTTTAAAAAATTGGATATGCATCGGCTATATTAATAAATTCACCAGCCATTATCATTTGAGGTTCTTTGTGCTCAGGAGACAGCATTTTTGGAACCATTCACAAACAAATTCGATGCATGTTCAAATGATCATGAAGGATGGTGTGAACACTTCCATGAGATAAATGTACCTCAAATGAAATTTCATAGATTGTTAATTTCCGATTTTCACACACAACTTGTCGTACTCACTCAATGTTTACGTCATTGACTGCTGTTGAAGGATGTCCACTACAAGGGTCATTTTCAATGTTTTCACGGCCTTCACAAACCGTTTGTGCCACTCATAAACTTGACTTTTCTTCATTGCTTCTTCTCCATTAGCTTGAATTAACAACTCAAGAGTCTCACTATGTAGGTCTTTAATTAAAACACAGAACCTAATATTCGCACACTGTTCATGAAATGCCATTTTTCAATGCAGGTACACAAAAAGCGCTTACTAGTGCTGAACTACGGCTTGTCAGCTATACCCCAGTCCCCCACTTCCGAAATTCCCTCCTCATGAGTCGTACCAACTACTGCAAGACGAATTACACGCTGGCGATCGCACTAAATGTATACAGAAATTCATCCCGGGAATATTTTGACTGTTATATGTACCTACTATATTGTAGCTAATGGATAAAATCTGTTTTCTTTCAGTTGAATCGGGGGTTTGGTCGTGCTCTCAGCTTGATCACTATCTTGGGCCAAGTAGACTCGTACATCGCAGAACGTGCTCGAGCTGTCATACGAAAACTGCTGCTACTAGTTGATGATGACTCCAACAGGGTTCAACAAGAATATTAGATAGTATTTTATGTGTTTTTTTACTTTTTTATTAAAATTTTATATTTGGAAATTTCCGTTATGATACTGTATTTTCCTTTCTTTCATTAGTAAACACATTTTAAACATGCCATACATGAATAAACCAGGAACAGTTCAGTTAAGGTGATATGAGTCTAGCAATTTTACCTTATAAAATGAAAGTACTGATTTAAAAATCAATCAAACAAGAAATTTATTTAACACAATAATCACCAATACTTATGTTACAAAGCATGGACTGGACTGCAGACATTAAGAGTCTTGTTTGGCTGGACATGCTAACAGAATTGTCTGCTTTAGGAATATCTGGTCATTCAAGCTCAACTTGTTGCCCACCAAAACATTAGGTACTTGGTGGTTCAGAACTACTGTGTTCCCCACTCATAGCAAGGACAATAGTGAGCATCTGGTTCTTTATATGGATGACGATCTCTGACCATGAAAAAGACACAATTATCAAAAACCCATTCAAGTAATAATTATAAGTGCATGAACTGCTTCAATGTAAATGGTCCATAGCTGTTTTGAAGCATGAAAATAAAATAAAAAATGATCAGCGAGTGACTGACCAAGATCAACTATCAAGGCAATTACGACTTGTACTTGGTTCAGTTTTCAGCAGTATAGCTATGAAGACCCAACTAAAACAGTCTCCTCTGTCATCTTGTATCTGAGAGGAACAATATAGGCCGTGTTTAACAGATTAGAGCCGAGAAGCTTGTATAACCTATCGTCATCAATAAACACGATTTACCAATTGTGATATCATGGAAGATTATTACAATTAAATAATGGCAAAATATGTTACATATGACTTTAATTTTAATTGAGATAGGACATAACTATACAGTCTTTGAGCAAAAGTAACTGTCAAAGATATATTAAGGTTTGCAGCCTTTGTGCAGGTTAGTTGTTTCCTCCAATATATTTTGCCACGGTGTATGGCAACCTAAGGAGTATAGAGAAGTTATATTTACATAATTGTATAGTATATACATATGGCACAACGATGTTAAATTAATGTCGCGGCATCTTCGCAGGCCTGAACGTGCAGTGGACACTTGTAGGAATTCGTACTCGCACTGTCTTTGTTCATTGACCTACTTTGGGGAAGGGTTGGTTTTGCAGGTTAAGAGTCTAGGTTCTGTTGGGATGGAAAATGGACCAGACAAATTACTAAACAAAAAAGAAATTTACAGTTATTTACAGTTTATTTTAACAGTTCTGTAATTTTAAAAACCATTTATGAAATAGAAAATACAGCACCAACTGAATTTCTAAACGATTTGGCAACACTGCAACAGTGAAAGTTACACACCCCAACAGACCTAGTCTCTCGCTCGTGAAGATGCTGCGACATTAACTTAACGTCGTTGTGCAGTGTGTGTTAGTGTGTATAGTGTACGATTGTACATTATATATTTATACCTGATTATGTAAATAGATCTTCTCTACTACCTGAGGATGTCACACAATTTTGTGAAATATATCGGAGGAAAAAACTAACCTGCAAAAACAAAGGCTAGTAAATAAGTTAACAAATAATTTAATATTTCAACAGTTTATGTCAGATTTCCACCAGTTTACCACACAGGGCTATGTCACATTGACTATACATATGTCCTATTTTCTTCATTTTCCTATCTGTGACCTACATTCTGTATATCTACGTACCTCACTGTACATAGATGTTGACATGTACCAACAAACTAACAATAAATAACAGGTGACCTTTCATGCACCAAGCACTCAGCACGAAATTGATAAGGAAGTGGATATCAGGAGGCTTTGACCTTGAAACCTGAGTTAGCTCTGAGTTATGTTCCGCATTCTGGGGCTTCACCATGAAGTCCGTATCTTCAATATTGGTAAGTATATACAGCATAAATTATATATTTGACAATTTACCAGTCAATTACACAATCTTTTGGGAGTTAGTTCGTAAACTTAACTTTGAGGATAAAGAGCCCTACTTTTCATATTTGTTGTATAATTTTTCTTTGCAACCTTTAAATTATGGATGGCATGATATGTATCTCACCCGTAGCTTTGTTTTATATATTTTAGTCGCATGATTGAAAAGTATACAAAAACATATGGTAATCTCCGTAAATGTACTAACGGTTTTCATATAATATTTTCAATGTGAACTACTTTGTGTGTGTGAAATATGTTTACTTGTCAATGATAAGTTTATGTCAGTAAAAAGAAAATGATCTGAAATATCATGATAATGGATTCGACTTTGCAAATAGAATCAAAGATTAAATCAGCAAAACCACGATCCGCATGTGATGCTTTTATATACTGTACTTAGTACAATACTTACTTCATATAGCATATAGTATATATGTTTGATTAAATCGGTTTTTCTAAGTTAACCTATTGTTGATGTATTACAATCTTTTTGGGGGTAGGATCCAAAATAGACTACTGCAAGGTTAGTAATGATGTGAAATACATTTTGTCGGGTCATGGAAAACGGTAACTTAAACATTACAACACCATGATATTCATTAATTTTCTCCAATAAAGGGGATACAAAGAATTAATGTACCAGTACTTCAATTAACAATGTAACAAAGAAAACCATTATTGAGTTAAACTAATTTAATGCTGTTGGTATTTTAATCTAATTCTATGTGAAAAGTTAGTTATACTCCACCCATTAAAGGAAAAAGATACAAGAGCCTACTCAAATTTTTATTTACACAAAATTGAGTTCACAAAATTCTTTCAATATTATAGTACAGATTTGCAACCTTGTATACTTTGATTAAAAGACCTGTATGATTCAAGACTCAATCGACTATTAGCCACTGAAACTATATTTTTGTTATCAGAACAAAGTCGAGCAATCCACAATCCTCGTTGTTAGAGTTGTGACGTACAAACTTATTTAGACTGTTTAGTTGACATATTTAGGCTACTGCTTTTATGCTGATGCAATATTGTGTTTGCAACTTTACTGTCTACAGTTGTGTACAAGCATATTTGTTGCAGTCAGCAAATCTAAATTTGAGTATATATTATATAGAGAGGAAAAAAAGTCCTAGGGCGGTTAAATATTTCAAAAAGTAATAAAGATAGAGCTTCAAAACTTAGTGCACAGTTCCTGGGCATTAAAATCATTTTAATACATTATTCGGTGATGTGCTACCTCCTCAGGGGGAGGGCCCGCTAGGAGTCAGAAGAAAATCTTAAATGTAAGCATATAGGTTAATATGCACATCAAATTAAGCCTTGGTTTCTCTGAACCACGCTGCGTTATTGCGTGATCCGTGATTTGTGATACGCTGGAATCACGCGTGGGTGGTAAAAAATTAGGGTGTTTTCTATGACCCCATCCTCGCAGCGCACGATTATTTCTTCAGCCATGACTCGTTGCCGTAGCTTTTCTGCTGAAAATGAAGAAAATTTACCAGTGAATCTAGTAAATGAAGAGCATATGGAAGAAGGGTGTTTTAGAATTCTAATTACCAGGCATTTAATTGAACAATGAAGCTAAGCTTAGGGATTTTTTTATGCATTCAAACAGTTGCTTAGAGTATGAGTATGAGTATGAGAACTACGGTAATAGCTTATTCCATATATGGAAAATTCGCTAAAAACCTATTTCACCATTTTAAAAGTTCTGCTTGACACTATTAACTGTCAACCATTTTTCTTGATTCCATTGTTCTTGTAGTTCTTTTGGGTGAAACAATATAGTACTGAAAACTTTTCATAAAACTTGGCAGTAAAAACCTTGGATTTCATAGTTGCAGTTTCATTAACAACACAATTATCAGTCACTAACACATGAACAGATGGGAATAACTACTGCGTGCCACGCAAAAAGTCTGGTATCCCAGACTTCATTGCGTTACGCAAAGGGATCACACATTACTAAATTGGCGGGAATCACTGAGAATTGCGCACATGAAGTCAGAGAAAACACCCCCGTAGCAATAGCTGTGACAGACTTTTGCGTGATTACGTCATCGCGCATCCCGCATCCCACAGTGATGCTGCGTGGTTCAAAGAAACCAAGCCTCTATAGGTATTTGTTAGTAAAATACAATGCCGCAAACCTGAACTCAAACAGACAACCGAGTCCAAAATGACAGCCAAAGTGACAGCTATTATAAGATGCATTGAATTTAAAAAATTACCCTTAATTTCATAAAACTGCTTCACTTTAATCAAAAGTGAGTTGAGTTATTTGTTACCGTACCTTGTTTGTGAAACTCATATCTACCTTTGTTCTTCCAAGATATTTTTAGGTGTTTCCTAAAAACATTCAAGAACAAAGACTATTAAACATAAGGTAACAAATAACTCTATTTTCTATGTCTTGTCACTGAGAAAATGAATAAAACACAACTTAAATCAAATCTCACACCGAAGTTTTGAATTTCTTATAGGTTTTTCTCTTAGTTCAGGATGAAAAAAATATTTTATGGACCAATAATGAAGACTTATGTGACAAACAAAAATTTTTAGTAAATGCCCTACATAAATTTAAACTTAAGTCTTATATGATCAAATAATATAATATTGGTAACTTGTATTTAATTTTTTGTATTTATTTTCAATCATGGCAATAATACTAAGTTCTGTGTTGTTCTACAATTAATCTGCCATACTTGCTGAATGCATATGGCCTAAGTATAAATTATTGCTATTTTGGAGATATTATGGATTTTTTAGTCATCTTTTGAAAATTTTTGTTGTTGAATATTTATTAAATTTATGTTTCGAGGTAGTTTTGAATATCCTTGCAATTTAGTAAATTATGAAAAGGGCTTATAATAGATCCTTGAGAAACTCCATGCTTAAAAGTAAGAGCGTTCCAGTTCCATGGAAATATTTATCTAAAATTTTTAATGCTTCTTTTCTTATTGTTTTACAATTGTGAACTTCCCCAGGTGCTATGCAATGTAGTATTGGTTTATTGTGGAAGTACCTTTGAATCTACTGATCATATTAACAACAAGAAAATCTCAAACAAACATGGTAAGTGAAAATATTTTTTGTTGCGTATAAAAAAATTATTGCTAATATAATATATTGGATTTGATGGATAGATTTATCAATTATTGTCATAAAGAAACTCTCTTCTTTTTACGAATATTTTCTTTCCAGATTGATGATGGAGTTCCTATAAATTCTAGGTTTCTTTGTTGTATTGTTCTTTGTTTTTTGGTGGGGTATTCCATTTATACTAGATTTTTTTTTTATCAGATAATGTCAATCGTTAATCTATGGGTAAGACACATATGAGTATTACCATTTGCACAACACAAACAAGAAAGGCATGTCCACAATTTTGCCGTAATCACAAGAAACGTTTACGATTTCATCGCTATAACAGGATAGGGATAACTGATTTGAGTGCTATTTAAAGTTATTGAAACCCATAGAGCCATTATTGGGTTATGACTAAAAAAATATGGGTCACCTATTATAGTTTTATAAGATTCTTGGAAATATCAGAGAGAAAACGTCCTTTCCTTTGTGTTCCTGCCCCAACATACCATATGTACATACTTGATACAAGACCGTCTAAAGTACTAAATATTTATTTTTCCTACAGTTACCTAACAATGTACATGTTCTCTCACTGATTTGAGAAAGCAAAGTGGCCAATTCGCTCATCAGTGAGACAATGTTAACATTGTCTCACTCTAATTACTTTGTCTCACTCCAGATTTGCAACGTGAAGGCACGAAATAGTGAGCGCGTAACATGCAGGCATAACGTCGTATGCGCGCAAAATACGTTGGCAGCACTGGCTGTAAATCAGCTGGTCAGCTGTTGTACTGTTGTATTTGTCACTTCACATTAAATGTTATATTAAAAGTTCACTTCTGTGTAAAAATAGGTTATGTTTCTTCACAAATTTATTTGTTTTATGTTAACTGTAGGAAAAGTATAATGTGCAACTCGAGTTCAAAGTACAATTGCCTCACTCGAGAAACCATTCCTCACTCGCCTACGGCTCGTGAGTAAGGATTTCTCTCGAGTGAGTCAATTGCTCACTTTTCTCACTAGTTGCACAAATAACTATAATCTATTCTTGTTACCAAAATGTACAATTAAATGTTAATAAGTCAATGAGTCTGAGTTTGTGGCTAATCTTTACCTGAGTTATGAAGCAAGGTTATTAATTTTGTCTAATGTCATAAAATTTCTCATCGATAAGAGTACTGTACAAACATTATATTGTAACTGACCTAGCATTATTATATTCAGGTCAGACAACACAGAATTTTTACTGCAAATTCTCTTTAAAATCTTCAAACTGTATAAAGCCCCTCCCCCTAAACACGAGGGTGTTTGTACTGTCCAAGGTCCGCACCAGATTTGGAGCCTTGAGGTCTGTGTTTTCCAAATCCGGCCCTGCTTCCTCCATAGTGTTATCTCATATTGTCAAACCATATAAGTGTTACCAGATTTGAGACAGATTCTTGTTATATTATTATTTGTGTTATCTAAAAAGTTGGTTGTTTAGAGCGTAATGGTAAAAACTCTGTTGTTTCAGGTGATGTGATTGGTAAAAGTTTACCTAGACGTCAACGATCACCATTATCTTATGATTCCATCCCTTTCTACTCAAGTCCTCATCCATTTGGAGAGCAACTTCCAATCTACCCATGTAATCATGAATACTTACACTATAACCCAGTTGAATGTTGTTTTGACACGGGTCATTACCAAGGAGAAGCTGTAGTACATAAATTAGGTCAGGAGTACTTGTACAATCCAGATGAACAAACTAGCTTCACAGAAAATCTTGAATCCCCAGAATTGTATCCTGGAAGCTCGACATTAGAACCAGAAACTCAATTGGAACCTCCAAATGTTGTGGAAAAAGAAGAAATCATGTCGGTGAATCATGACCAAGTACCTCCAGCCCTGCATCAGAGGCCACACGATGATTTCCCGCACCATGAACAAACTTTCACCATGTCAAAGACCAATTATGGTGGTCTTCTTAATTACGAAAAACCACATTTTATTCCTAACGATCCAGTGGATAGCTACAGAGGAGAACCATACTACCCTGTATCACATATTGTTAATCCAGAAGGACAAATACACCATCAAGAGATGTATAACCATCCACAGGAACAGATTCGATCCAAAGCTCCACTTTCAAACATTAAAGTTGATGGATTTCATCATGAAGCCAAGCAAAGTTTTCATGATCTAAGTAATAATAATAGACAAGAAACGTTGAGGGATAATGATCACAATTTTGACAAAGAAACCACTGATAGCTGCTGTATGGTTTCAAAAAGATTTGGCCTCAGCCCATCTAAAGTTTCTTATATGACTGACAAAAAATGTTCAATGGAAAGGGAAAGTAGTTCTATGAATGACCCAAGTAAATGTTTGTCCATAGAGTCACAAATGGAGGAAAACTGTGGGAAAACCAAAATACATTCATCACAATTTGGCTCACAGTCATATAAAATAAAACCGAATTCAATGAACAGGAATACACGTTGTTCATGTGAATGTAATACACCCAAGCCTACACGTAATGATGGCATGGATCAAAGTGGAATTCATAGCTTATTGTCAAATGAACAGTTCAATGAATTAAAATCAATTTTGAAGTCTCTTGTTGAAAACAATAGTTCAAAAAATGGGGGTCCAGAAACTTCTATAGACTTTCGTCCACAAAAGTATTCTAAATCTTCTGGACATAATGGCTGCAGCTGTAAAACTCTGAACAAGTTGTGCAGATGTTTACACCTGGCTAAAGATGTAGGAGATTATATATCACAAAATGCCCATGAAGCCTTGCGTGGACTCAGAGGGTTTGTGTCTGACGAACTGAAACACTGCCACATTGATTGGACAGGGGAAAGAGATGATCATTTTTAGGAATATACATGTAATCCAGAAATACAAGTACAGTGCAGAAAACAATACAAATATAACTAAACTTCAATATTTATCAAGAGATTTTTTACTTCCTGCTTTATATCGGTTCCATTAATATTCCTATTAAGACATTGCCATTTTGGACCGTTTGCAAGGTGTTGTAAGATAAGTCCAGAATTAACTGATGAACAGTCAGAATACGATCACTTAACAATTTCTATAAGACTTTAAGGAATTTTGAAATACATTATCACCACCAAAGACATGAACAAGACACAACATACAACAGGTAATGTATATTCATTTAAATTTTAAAGCCATATATTAATTTTAACTTTATAATATTTAAAACACAATATTAAATCAAATAGGTTTTCAAAAACTTGTTAATGTTGTTGATGTACATCTGTACATTTTTACTTACATATGTAACTATCTTATACTATTCTAAAAATATTATGTTACCCCCACTTATAGTGTGTATTGTGCAATTTAACTCCTATCGGATAAATCTTTTATCCCAATAAACTATTTTCTAGAACGTCGTTTTTTTTCTACTTATGTAGGGTGTTTGTTATAAAACACATCCAAATTACAAATATAGAGAAAACCGTAATTTTTCTCTACGGTGTATTAGGAATCTTTTGTAAAATAAGACTTAGATTGTTCTATTGAAAGGTCAAATAGTAGCAGTAGGTATTGCAGAAGATTACATTAAAAGTAAATCATTCATTTTATGTCAAGACAGGTTTGCAATTAGGTTTCCAGGTGAAATTACAGTACCTAAAAACCAACTACAGGTTGTAAAATAGGCTATGTAAATTAGTGAATGAAACTAAAATTTGTTCTATAAATGTGCATTAATCAATCTTAAACATGGCTTGAGTTCTAGAGAAAACCATGTGAAATCTTACTCTCAATAAATTCGAAATTACCGTACATCAAACTATGTAGACATAACAATTCAAAAATGTATATCAGCTGATCGTAATAAGGGATGCAGAGCTCCCAGTTTGTAACATTTTTTGGTCCAAACAGTGACTATCGGTACTTATTGTAATAATTTTGATTGAGTTTTATAAAATACACCCTGCATAACATGTTGAATACAACAAAATCCCTCCATGTTCACTCTGTAACATGATTCAGGCCTTTACCTATGTGATTTGTATATCAAAAGTATAAATTAAATAAATGTTCATTCTCTGTAACAATATGTATCATTATTCAATACAGAGTCACATTTATGTAACATAAGTGGAATTTTCATGCTACCTCTAAATTGAGTAATACATGTAATGTAACCTTGTATATTATGCTTCTGTTGAGACTGATTCACTTTGTCACAACAAAACACCAGATGTTATGGAGGCTTTACCATAACATTGCAACATCAACATGTGGCGTATCCCAGTGAACTGGACATCAATGACCATACAATACAGTTGACCATGTGACCTTGGCCTAGGTAGAGTGCAGTATACTCTAGATGGGAGATGAGAGCAATGGGATCAGCTGTTAAAGACAGACTATAAATATTCATCCAGCTATTCTTCCTTAATCAATAATCTTAAGACAATAGTCGTTCACTACTAAATCCTGGCAATACCACTGCTTGCTGTATAGTGTCAAATGTATGTTTAGAGGTCAGTGCTCTTTGCAAATCTCTGAGGCATAAGTGACTGCAACTCAAGGTCAAGAAAATAAAAGTTCTTTCTTTGGATTTCTAGAACCCTATTTAAGCACCTTGAAGTGGCTCAGCTCCGAAAAAATTAAAAAACTATATAACAACTGTTTAATGTTTTCAGGACTTAACTTTTCATTTAAAACATGCATATACAAAAATATGCTGTTCTACAAATTATTCCATGAGCCCTTACCTGCATAAAGGCAGAATCTTTTTGTGCAGTGGGAGAAAATCTGATTACAGTAATCTGATGTAATATATTGTAGTTAGTTATATACATATTCCAGTTGATCTATTGGTAATGGACTTATCTCTAAGAGTGTCTTATCTATAACACTCTATCATGATATCACGATGACCTCAAGAGACAATCTGCAGCTACTATCACACATGTACTTCGCACATCCCTAGTGTATGGGTCAGAACCCTTCCTCAGAAACTTCACCTTCAGCTGGCAAAATAATGAATCATCTGCAGTTATCAGTGTTTTTCCTGTTTCTCCTGGTTGGAATGGTTCTTTCTCAGGTATTTCACCTAATGTTTAGTGTTGTTGATTGGTGCTTTATGGGGACCTATGTTAATTTGCTTCTTAGCCAGGGTTATTTGGTAGTACTCGTATCTATGAGATTAAACCCAAGTAGCACACATCGTTGGCCCAACGTTGGGAAATGGTCGGCACGGTTGGGAAATGGTTGGCAGAAATATTAACGATTTGCCAACGTTGGCCCAACGGAAACTGGTATTCGTTGGCCCTACAAAGGATAGAATCGTTGGGCATTCGTTGGGTTTAAGTATAAAACATTCTAAAACGAATTTTAACAAATTGATTTATTTAAAAGTACATAAATGTTATGGCAGCAGAATATAAGACAAATATTGTAAAAATTTGGATCAATAATGAATGTAGTCAGATGATGTTTACTAGATACAGTGGGGAACACCTGCTTAACATATAATAATTATTATAATTCATATTTTTAAATATTCTTTAACTTATTTTAGCAAGTTTTTAATAGTTATAGAGAAAAGATTAATTAATTATATAACAATCAATTATAACAGTAGCCTACTAATCTAATGGTAATAATCTATATTCAAATACTAGTATCCTCTCCAACTACCAGAAAAACAATTCAACTACTTGAGGACTAAACAGATTAACAGAATCATATTATACTGTAGCATCAAAAATATTTAAGTATTAATTGTGACCATTGCACCTGTCGGCTACTCTTTCACCACTTGAAAACACTCTTGATCAACAAGCACAGTTAGCTCAGAGGTAAGGCGTGAGGCTCACACGTCGAAGATACCGGGTTCGAGACCCGACCCGGCCAAAAAATTTAACTCGTTTTATTTTCAAAATAAGTTTTTATGAACTATTTAATCAATTTACTCAACTCATAATTATGCTTTTCATACAAAATCTTTATTATTTTGTGTTTTTTATGTTTATGCCCAATGGGATGGTTGGCCCTTCCGCAAAAATTGGTTGGTTGGCCAACCGTAAGACTGAGTGCCAAAACATACCGTTGGCCAACGATCGACAGAAACGTTGGGCCAACGATTTGCCAACGATTTTTGCTACTTGGGAATGAAGTTTTGAGGCACTGAGTTAACTTAGCTTCGTTGACAGAAAGTGTTTATACTATGAAGCTTAGATGATACAAGCACAAGTCAAAATGTTTACCATCAACTGATAGTTCATATATTTGAGATTCAAAATTGTGTAGACTTTTTATCCCCATAGCAAGTGGGGTTTTAAAATTGGAAACACTTTTTCTTTTACACTAACAAATGTAAAAATATTTCCACATTTTTAATGATCAATTATTTAATGTTGTTTTTAAACATTTATTTACTATTTTTGTATGAATTAAATTCAAAACATTTTCCCCATAAGATATCATAGCAACTTCCACCGCTTGCCAATGGTAAGGGTTGTTGAATAGCTAATGGGAGACAGTGCGTTTCAGATTGCTGATAGAGTTTATTAATTTGGTGACAATATCTGACTTCCTATAAAAACTATGAGATCTTGCCTCGTGGGGATCCTCATGTACCACGTTGACGTTGACCAATCCCTGCAGTAGCTATGAGGTGTTGCGACACTACTCACACAAACACAGTGCTGCAGTAATTATTTACCTATTTTGCCATGTACGAAATGTACCCCGCCGCTCGTGTCGCCGTCGCCGGGCAACCGCGACCGGGAATGTGACCGGTTAGTGATTGAAAAATATAGTGTAAATATGTACATAGTAACAGTAGTGTTTAAGAAGATACTCCATGAAGATGCCGCACTGAGCGGCGAAATGCGCATTGAGTATTAGTTCAAACTACAAGACCTTCAGGCAAAATAGGTAAATAATTACTGTATAATACAGGTCTTGTCACTGGGTTCAAAAAACACAGTGCTGCAGTTGCTGCTGTTGTAGGAAATCACATTTTTAGCAATTTATTTAAAACCATTGTGGAATAGCTATTTGTGTATTAAGAGCAAAAAGTACGTCATTGCCGCTCACTGTAGATAACAACCATACATTTTAGAGCGGCAATCACTGTTTTTATGCTCATAATACACACATGATCTTTCCTTAACACCGGTAATTAAATTATCATAACACACAGATTAAATTTTTAGTTGTATATCAAATGTCATTAAGGTTATGCTTGCTTTTTCACACCAATCACTTTCATAGATGCATTACAGGATGTTAGTGATTTATAGAAACCCCAAAATTAACAGCCGATTTAGCGACCGTGAATGAATAAAGCGAAAATGATTTTGCGGAATGCTTACAGGTGTGGGAATGTAATCATTTCCATGAATTGGTAAGAAAACAAATAAACACTTTACCAAATATATTTGTTCAAGAGTTGTTAGCTTTTTAAATGTAGGCCTAATCATCAAAACTAATCAGAAGGAGTTGGAGATTTTTTGAGGTACTGTACAGAGTAAATTTTCGTCTTCTTTTCTCAATTGTAACAGGAAATCTCAGAATTACAAAAATAAATTACAAGTTTTTTTTAAATTTCCAGCTCTATCCAAAAATTAATCGCATGTTCTGATTATTTTTACATCTGGGAATAAAAAACAAATTATATAAAAAAACCTATCCACAAAAAAATAATCAATGGATAGCTGATCAATCTAAGGTGTATTGTTTTAATACAAGTGAGCTGTTTTACAACATTAAAAAAAGGGGATTATACCCTTTCATTTTGAAAATACAAGGGTCGTCGGTAAATTAAGGCCTCCCATCGTGGCTAAATGAGCTAGTCCAAATCTGTGACCCACGTTCTTTCTTTACTTTTTCCACTACTATTCTAGTTTATTTCCACCCTTATGCAACAAGTGGTCTCATCATAGCAGAAAAAAAATATGTGAATGATTGACGCTCCCAAAATTTAATTACGTATCATGTTATGTGATTAAGTTTCTGTGGTCTAAGCCGTTATCTACTCTTAAAAAAAAAAAAAACTGTTGCCATTTTTTTTAACAGAGGGCCAGGCTTGTCAGCTCCCTCATTGCCAGCTATACCTTTGTGCTCTGGAACCCAACTAAGGATAACCTTGATGTTCTCTCCCAGGGCTTTCATGGCCTGATAACAGTCCCATACTGCCTTAGAGGTAAAGTCAAAACTGTCAAGTGCCATTAGCGCTGCTTTGCTGTCCGAGTTCATGTATATGGTGTGGCCTGTTAGACCACACTTCAAACACACTCTTGCACAATTGGACAGGGCAACAACTTCTGCCTGGAATACAGTGGCCAGTTTCCCCAGGCTTACGCAAAACTGCGCCTTGGGTCAGACTTTGTATATTCCCGTCCCAGTGCCCGTTGGATTTTTCGAGCCATCTGTACACAAAGTGATTCCCGTTTTCATGTAATCAGGTCCACCTTTATACCAGGCAGCCCTGTCAACAATGTTGACATTATAAGGATTTTCTAGATCTGTGATCTTCATCATCCTTTCTGGTAACATTTCCAAGTTGTCCATCTGCATATTGTCAACAATCCTTTTATAAATAATAATAATGTTACCTTCTTCCGTTCCAAATGATCGTAGTTATTCTTACGACGCGTTTCGTCAGCACAGTGACATCATCAGGTATCCGCTATCGCTTCGTCTTGAATATATTAACATAAAACAGTCATTGCACAATACACAAACACACATTTAATACATTTAAAGACCGGTCGTTGTTGTCGTCGCGGTGGCCACAACTCACGTACGCACATGACTAATTCTGGGCGACGACGAATTATTCATGTGCGTACGTGAGTTGTGGCCACCGCGACGACAACAACGACCGGTCTTTAAATGTATTAAATGTGTGTTTGTGTATTGTGCAATGACTGTTTTATGTTAATATATTCAAGACGAAGCGATAGCGGATACCTGATGATGTCACTGTGCTGACGAAACGCGTCGTAAGAATAACTACGATCATTTGGAACGGAAGAAGGTAACATTATTATTATTTATTAATAACTAACGTTCCAGTAGTAGGAAATGAATTCTAATCCTTTTATGTTCACTGGAGGTGTTATACTTTCAGTTGCTGCTGAAAATCATTCTGTAGGTTGCCATCCTTGTCTCCCCTTTCAAAATGATGTCGAGAGGTGGGAGGTTTAGCACTACTTCTGGGGCTGCCTCTCATGGCTCCTGTGATGCTAAGGCATGCCTCTCGCTGGATCTTTTGTAGTCTTTTTACTATATGGTAGTATTGGTATTTTGGATTACCTTGGTCCACCAGACTACCGAGCAATACATCATCATCGGTTTTGCAACCCTAGTTCATAGCCAGTTAGTCATTTGTGGCCTTAGACCCCATGTCTTCCCAACCACTAGATCATCAACCACCAGATTCCATAAATTTGGTGACAAGACGCCACCCTGTGGACACCCTCTTTGGGCCTTGACCTCTCTCACCATCCCACACTGAGTAAGCTTGCGCTCTCCTACTTTTGAGCATGTTGCCTACCCACCTCACAACAGTGCTTTTCACATTCCAGGTTTGATACAATAGAGCAAGTGCAGCCCTGTTGTCAAAAGCTCCTATATCAAGAAATGCCGCCACCGCGATATCCATGTTCGAGATAGCATTTTCAATCTTGCAAACCAGTGCATGCAGGGCTGTTTTGCATGACTTTCCTTTCTGATAGGCATGTTGGTTTGGGTGCAAAGGACAGCTTAGAAGGATCCTAACCTTTATTCGTCCATCCACTAATTTCTCCATGGTCTTCAGGTGAAACGATTTAAGGTTGGTAGGTCTAAAAGCTCAGCTTATGTGTCCCTTCCAGGTTTCGGTATGAATACCACCCTTGTGGTCCTCCATGCTGTTGGTATTACTCCACTGGCTAAGCTGGTCCTGAACAGACGCACCAAAGGGAGTATCAACTGGTTCCCACCCACCTGCAAGAACATCGGGTAGATGCCATCGGTACCAGGAGCTTTAAATGGTTGAAATGCCATAAGAGCCCATTTTATACCCGTAAAGGTGATCACAGCCCTAGCGCAAACTCAATCTTCCCTTTTCGTCCGCACGCTAGTCCCTCTTTCCATCTCATCTTGGACTGTGTTCTGCAGTTGCAAGGATCCTGGGAAGTGAGTGCTCAACAGGCTCTCCAGCACTTCTTCTGGGTGATCCGTATATGTGCCATCCTCCATAAGCATTTTTCCTAAAGGAACAAGGAAGGGCTTGGCCTCGAGCTACGACTCAATAGAGCTTTGCCCATTCAGAAACAGTTTACATGTTCTGACAGAATTCTCTCCATGACTCTTCCTTAGCTCTCCTAATTGTCCTATTATAAATAGTGAGCATCCTCGAGTAGTTGTTCCAGTTTCCTGTACGCTTTGCTACGTTATACAGTCTGCAAACCTTCCTCCTCAGAGCCTCTAACCCACTGTTACACCAGCAGGTCTGCCTGCGCATGTTCTTTACAGTCTCTGGGCAAGTTTCTTGGTACAAGCTTACTATGGTCGCATTCAAAGAACTCGCCATACTCTCCACCCCATGCCCTTTTGTGTCTTTTAATTGGCTTAGTCCGTCCCCTAGCACCTCTTGATAATGGTTCCAGTCAGTCCTTCTCACGTTCCTGTAGGTATCTTTTGTACAGATTGAGCCTTTAATAAATTAGCCTTTAGCCTTGAGCCTTTAGTATGTCGGTGGCTCAGTCGGTAGCGTCGCGGACTTCGGGCCCAGGGCAGCGATGTCGTGGGTTCGGATCCTGGTCACTGCCACTAAAATTTATCAGTACAGTTCACCTTTGTACTGCACCGGCTCACTACTTGCATTGCTGTAAACGTTCCACGCATGGGTGGTTATAGTCTATGTGGACGGGCAAATGCAAGGTTAAAAGAGGCCGCCAACCTCTTAAAAAAAAGAAAAAATTCAATGTGACTGATCCGACGCTGAGTGGTCATCATATACCCCTTATTTTGCAACCTTTGTCGCCGCATAATTGCTAGATAATGCCGATCCTTTGTGGCTACATTAGCACAACCAACCAAGGCTCCGGCTTCAAGATGGCAGCTGCTTATCCTGACATCTTTGCCATGAATTACTAGCTGCCTTGATAGCTCCCTCTTGATTTTGTTGGTTTTAGTCTTCGTCAGCTACCTGTCCGGGTGTTCAGATTTGGCGATGGCCATCTTCTCCATGGACAGTGTCTCTGAATAGGTTGGTGCCAGTGCTCTCTGTGAAACACCCAACCTTGTCCTAGTCTTCTTCTTCTCGCCCCCGTCATCCTCAGTTGTCAGTTGCTCACACCCCCTCTTTCCACCTTTCTTCCTGGAGGCTTCACCAGAGTCCGTTTTGGGGGTGCCGCCCTCGCCCAGCTTTTTTCCAGCATCCTAGTTTCCCGGAGCAAACAGTTTCCCGGATCCTAGATGGCTTTGCAGGGAGCAGGGTTCGGTTGCTTTGCAGCCCACGCCAGCCTCCTCTCACTTCAGGATAGGATCTTTTCGCCTTTGCCTTTGGATAAAACATCCGCTATCCTCCGTCTTCGCAACTCGCCCCTGGAAAGTAGATTTTTTCGTTCCTTTCCAGTTTTCGCGAGCTTGTCGTCATCGTCAGATTTCAGTAGACCTTCCTCCTCCACTGTGGTCAGATCGTCTACGCTCAGTCTAGCAATAGGAGGGCTTTCAAACTGTCGGTCACACTCTCTTTGCGCATCAACAATGGTTTGGTCGGGTTTTTTGTTCCCAAGTGATAGATGAGTATGCAGAAAAGAGTTGTGATGTATAAAATAAGTAGCTTTGTGAATTCACAGAAAGTCTTACACGTTTGTACAACAAGGTCAGCACTCTGAGCAGTGAGTATTTGTCAATTTTCATTGAGACAGTAAATTAAAATTGAGGGAACCTAGCTTGCTGCTTGGCATGCTTAAAACTTGCAGGATTTACCGTTGTCCTTGATTTATGACATCTCCTATCAGTTTGACATTCAGCTATTCACATTCAAATTTCCCTTAACTTATTTGGTCACTCTGCTTGAAAAAATACTAATGAATGAACACAGCCAGCCTCCACCACGAAAGAAATCCTAAATACTGTCCAAATGCTTACAGCTACAACCACCTCTGAACTCTCTCCACCCTTTACAAAAAGTATCCTCATCTTATTTTTTATACCTGTTCGTCAACTGATGGTCGACTTAAATAGTTGCTGACCCTAAAACCTCTAGAATCTAATCAGATTTCATACTTTTTCTTTACATGGTTCACGAGACTAATCGTTGCATTTGGGTAGGAACCAGTTAGAAGAGTGGATGAAGTAAATATATTTGCGCTTATTCAGATTTGAGCTAGCTCGCTTTAGGCCGATGAGAGCCCTTAGAGACTTTATTATACAGTCTCCATTACATTAATATTTTTTGTTATTTAAGCCCTCTTAATTCCTTTAAATAAATACCCTCTTAGCTCATCACAAAGTAATCCAATTTATTAAATTATGTTTTTATAGATACAATAAAATCTTTATAAGTTCCCAATCAGCATACATTTTAGTTTTAATGTTTTGGTACCACACTCAATGGTATGGTACCCTTGAATATTCAAGTTAGTATCAGTAACTGAGATTGCGGAATTAAAAAATTTTCACACTTTAAATTTTTGTTTTGGTTCTATTATGACAAACGTTAACGGATCTTAATTTTATTTCAGGGCTGTCATATGGGAGAATATGGTCTTAATAAACCCCACAAGGGAGATCGCCATGACCCTCTTGGCCCAACTATATGCGACAACTACGGAGAAATCAACCCGGTACTGCATGCCCTCCACAAGGCTTTATACAGAGTGTGTGCAAATTCCTGCAAGATAAGTGACTCTCTTCCAGAACCGGTCGGTAAAAACTTGCATTCACTGAATGAAAAACGATGTGCAGAATTATGTAAGCTCCGAGATAGACTTTCCATTCAGATACCCTTGTCATGAAAATAAGATTGTGATCTTGTTGTAATTGTTTTAAATTCTTTCTTGTGATACATGTATATATATTTATATATAAAAGCCTTTTAAATAAAGTAACTGTTTTTATTCATATGAAAACACTGTTGTGATGTCTTTAATTCTGTCCTATGTATACCACATATACTATGTAACTTTGTAACTGCAGTCCATGTATTTAAACTAAGCAAATTGAGTCATTTCCTGAAAGAGTGAAGTTTGTACTGGTATAAACCAAATAGAAAATTTTTATTTAATACAGACTGATTAAATACCTCTACTCTGATAAAGTGGAGATCATAGAAACCACCAACCAAGGTTTACAGAGTACAAACAAGGTAAGACTATAGTGGGGAGGAGATGGGGCCTACCTGCAGTGGTAATGCGACAACAGTACTGAATCTGACCGGCTGGGCCAGCCTGGGCCCCCTGGAGCAGTCATGCTGTATTTTCCGAGGGTGCGACAGTAGGACTGATTGGAATTTCCCCGTTCTCCCTGCCTAATACCCATCACTCTAACCCCGGACACATAGTGAACTAGTGGGCCAGTGAACGGATCGGCTTATGTAATCGTCCACGGAAATATTTACTCCGTGTAAATTTGTCAGCACTTGTCTTTATTACACACTTGTCTATATTAAAATAATTTAAACAGGTATTATTGCCTTTTTATATAATATAATAATATTGTAGTAAATATTTTTGGAGTCTGAGGTTAGGTTAGGTTAGGTTAAGATATGACATTTCTGCCACACAGTACTCTTCGAAAAAACTACGCAGCAATTCGGTGAACAATTCCATGAGGTGATCAGTTCTCTGATAAGTTCTCGTTCTCAGGGAGAAGGGAGCTGGCCGAGGGAGAACAGGAAGAAACGGGAAGAGGACACTCGGCCTGGGCTGCCCCTATTGTGTGTTGTGAGGGTAGGTTTCTAGGGAGCAGGTACCTGACCTCAGCTTGCACTTTACCCGTTAAATTCCAGGAATCTCCCAGAAATACCCAGAAAACCTCATTTTGTTTCAAAATTGTGAAATAAATAAAAAGTAAATCCTAAACTTATACCCGTTGCTAGAATGGCCAAATATCGACAGACAATAATACATCGAAGTGACTATGTTGCAAAACACCATCAACTCCCAGAATCATATTGAATCAACGATGACCTGTTATAACAGCAATGTGAAAATCTGCCCACCTCCTAGTTTTTGCCCAGCTTGCTGTCTCTGTCACACACCCCCTATCTCCCCTATAGTTTATTAAATTAACCTATAGGGAATCTTTCGGGGGCAACAGACTCAGAGCTACCCATGTTCCCTATTGTTTGTTGCAGAGGGTAAGATTCTCATAATCACCCCAGGCCGCGAGTGTCCTACACCCGGAAGAAACCGACGCGACGCGGCGAGGGAGATTTCTCTCAGTCCTTTTGTCGCACCCCTGAAATTGTCCGCACGGTTGCCCCTGCGGACCCAGGCTAGAACATAGTACAGGTAAAATAATACAAAAACACTCCATATAAACAACAAAATTTGTACATTCATGAAATTTCACCTGTAAGTTACTAATAACATGAGAAATGAAGATCCGATGAGTCCCCAAAATTTTGGGTGTGCTAAGGCCCTTTTTGGGGCCCTTTTTGTTCCGAAGGGCCCTTGTTCCTGAATAATTTTGTTTTTACGTTTAAGGTCGAGTGAGGTGTGGTTTTCGATGGTTTTAGTTATTTTAAATCGATTGGGACTAGTTTTAAGTGTATTAAACCACTCCATACAGGGTGTTTCGAAATATAAATACTTGTTACGATATTTAAAGATTTATTCATAAAGTAATAAAATTATTTACCTCCATGCTCTATATAAAAGGAGATTATTGAAAATAACTTTAATTCTTTACTATATAAGAGGGATAAGGATCACGAGGAGTAAGAGAAAATATTAAATACCCCCGTCACAGCAAACCTGCAGACTAAGCGAATTTTCATTTGCCCGATTTTCAATAAATCTAAAATAGCATTGAGTTTAATGAATACTTAGGTTTGCTGCTACAAGGAGGCTAATAAAGTGTGTATATAGTAAAATATTAATAGCGTAGTATAAAACAAATAAATTTGACAAGTTTTATTAAGACATATCTATAAACAAACAAACGAAATCATTTTGCACTATTCTCCTTAAGAATAACATGGAATTTTAAATTTACAATTTTTGAATTTCATTCGTAACTAATACACTTACAAAACACGTTAATATACTAAATTATTTGTTTTCTTTAAGCTCTTTAAAATGCTCTAGAGAAAAATTAGGAAACTTTGTGTTTTGAGGGTCAAAGATTACACATTTCACCACATAAAAACCTGTTCAATGGACCGATTATGCCGGTTTTGTTAAAATTTAACAAAAATTACTCGAGTTATCATGTTCACGGACACGTATATAACATGGATATATTATATTATATATGTATATAAACACATGTATAATATTTTGAGTTGATGGTGCTTTAGGCTTCTGGGGGCATTGAAATGAAAACGTAAATCGGTTTCGGGTCTATGTTTTACCATAAGACCTTCGGTAATAGCTTATTTCCTATATGGGAAGTTAAAGGGTTATATGGTGGGTAAAAGGGTATGGATTGGGTTTTACACTATAACATAATAACATAGGTTACTACGCGAAAATTTCAACTTTTAAGGTGGTGTGTATAATCTTTTAATGTGTTTTTTATGCAAATCTATTAAGACCAATTTCAAATTGATATGTATTTTTCTTAGGTAGTTATTTAAGCTATTTTTTGTACATTTATTAAAAATTAAAACAATTGTATTTGTATAAAACCTAATTAAAATTAAAATTAATGTATTAAAATGACAAACTAAAAACTTACTTCAACTAAAGCTATTTTTCTACAATTTCCATATTATCTCTTTTTACAATTTCATAATCACAATAATTATTCTCAGACGACTCATTAACAATTTTATTATTCTTAGAAACTTGTCCATCTTTACTGATTTTGTCCAAGTCGGTGTTCAAGCGGTATTCCCCTTTACAAACCTTGCATATTGCAGAACAGGCAACACCAATCTTAAAGCACGAACAATGTGGTGCAAAAACACCTTTCATACATACTGACGTTTGCAACTTGTATCTTAAGTTCCTCAAAATTATTTTCAATCAATACAAGTGCGGTTGTCATTGATGGCTATGACGACCAGGACAGCACGAAGACATCAGAGCAGCATTGTCGGTATAAGCATTTTTGTCCTGAACAATGGGAACGAGGTTTATGGGGTAAAAATTGAGTTTTCTTATTTACTTTACCCTCAAAACACAAAGTTTCCCAATTTTTCTCTAGAACATTTTAAATAGCTTAAAAACAAATAATTTAGTATACTAACGTGTTTTTGTATGGTTATTAGTTACGGATAAAAATACTAAAATTGTAAATTTAAAATTCCCATGTTATTCTTATGTAGAATAGTGTAAAATGATTTGATCTTGATCAAACTTGTCAAATTCATTTGTGTTATACTAGGCTATTAATATTTTACCATAAACACACTTTACTAGCCTCCTTGTAGCAGCAAACCTAGGTAATCGTTAAACGCAATGCTATTTTAGATCTAATTGAAAATCAAGTAAGTAAAACGGAAATTCGCTAGATCTGCAGGTTTGCTGTGACGGGGGTATTTAATATTTTCTCTTACTCCTTGTGATCCTTCCCTCTTATATACTAAAGAATTAAAGTTATTTTCAATAATCCCCTTTTATATAGAGCATGGAGGTAACTAATTTTATTACTTTATGAATAAATCTTTAAATATCGTAACAAGTATTTATATTTCAAAACACCCTGTATGGAGTGGTTTAATACACTTAAAACTAGTCCCAATCGATTTAAAATAACTAAAACCATCGAAAACCACACCTCACTCGACCTTAAAAGTAAAAACAAAATTATTCAGGAACAAGGGCCCTTCGGGACAAAAAGGGCCCCAAAAAGGGCCTTAGGACGCCCAAAATTTTGGGGACTCATCGGATCTTCATTTCTCATGTTATTAGTAACTTGCAGGTGAAATTTCATGAATGTACAAATTTTGTTGTTTATAAAACCCTATTTTACCTGTACTAACAGGTCAAATAATTCATTCCTGTTGTCACACGTCAACACCTGCAGCCAATGAATAAGGTTTGTATTTATTGGCCGCAGGTAAATCCTATCCCCGACTGCCTTTGTTATTTGAACAAACTATAGGAGCACTGTATAAAATGTTAAAACGTTACATAGGCTTACATATGGAAAAGGTTATGGCGGTTCAAGAAAAATTTTTCACTCACATTTTTATCTTGTGTTTCGATAGTGTTTAAACATGTTTTGTGATTTTAATTATAGTCTTGAAAATAATGTTATATTTTTCAATTGTTTGATAACCAACACATTTTGTTTATACAACTTAAAACTCTGATTCCATATTTTACATCTTTCACTCCTATGTTGCTGAAGTACGAACCTCCAAAGATCATAACAAATTCAAAAGCTGAAATCGTTGTTTGCAAGAAACATACTCAGTTATATTTTTTGTCTTACTACGAAAAACCATAATTGATTAAAAACTTCCCATAAAACTTTCCATCATTACCATAACATCAGCACTTTAGATAATTGAACATATGTGTACTAAGATTTTAGCATTGTAATAAAACTACAGTAATGAAGCATTTATCCTATTTGTATTGTACATTCTCTAGTTTACATATTTGCATCTTCTATCTTTGCCTCAGTTATAGGAAAAATATTACATAATATATACTTATAAAATGTATGTGAGTTTGACTTTTGAGGCAGTTAGTTGCCTATCTCATTTATACAAGCATGCAGCTTCACGTTCTCAAAGAATGGAGAGGAAATGTTTCATCATAAGGATCCCATTTGCAGACTTGCCTTATTTCCATGACTATGGGCACCTTAGGCTCATACCAAATAGGTAATAACAACATACCCTCTTAAAAATAGTAAATATTTTTATTCGTATAACCTACAACGTTTGGTTTCACATTGCTCTGTATTTGTGTGATATTATTCAATTACGTTATATTATTCATAATTCGATATAGAGGTTTAAACAATTAAGTTAACTTATAAAGGTATGTATTGTGTTGTTTTCTGATATTTTTATTTATAATAATTTCAGTGTAAGAGACAAGGAAAAAATTTTTAGTTATATTTTCAAGGTTGACAGCGTTATAGTTAGGCTTTGCCAGAGGTCTTATCCTTTGTAGCCAAGACTTCCTGGACTCGTTTCTGAAAAAGGAAAACACACAGTTAAAAAATAGATTAAGACATTGCCATAATTTGTCCACCCATTTTATGTTTATAAAACTTAGTTAAAGTGTTGATGCTGAAATCTAATGAAATCTTGAAAACAGTGTACACGTATTTATACAATGGACTTTGAATTAATTGTTTCACTTACCCTAATTTTTATGGGCCATTTCATATTAATTTCAGGATAATCATTGAATGTCCATGATGGAAATAGTCAGTCATATAAGTAGGCCATTTAGAAAGTAAAAACGCTAATGATATATATATATATATAAATAAAAATTTTGATAAATCTAACTATATATTACATTACAAAATGGTATACGTACTAATATATGGTAAAAACAAAAAAATGGACTGAATCGCCTCTTTGAATTTCCTCACTACATTACCTCATATAAACAAACCACGATCTTTCCTCTATTATCTGCGATATGAAATATGACACAGTCCAAGCAAAGGATTCACTTTAGCTGTTTTTCTATGGTTGAAATAACATTATATCAACGAGAGAAAAATGTTGACGCAGTAGGCTTGCCAAGTAAAAGACACTTTTAATCACGAACTGCAATTAATATATTTCTACAGTTTTTGGAATGTGACAGCTAAACTATTAACAGTATTATGTTATTGTAAAAATCATAGTTACAGTATTGATATTAGGACTTTTTGTGACTAACGTGGTGCACGTAGCCTTGCACGTGGTAAACAAAGTCATTGCCAACATGGTAAACGACAAAATACTATCTATTTACATACTGTTAATCATCATCATACATTAATAATTACTACCTACACATTCGTAGTACCAAAAATGGTGGTACAAAAACTTGGACTACATTTTTTCAGTTATCTTTTGGAGTGAGGAAAAGTAGTAAGCAAAGTAAAATGTTAAATTAGCAAAATACCACTTGACAACTTTAGACAACAACATCATTTTACATCATTTTACACGGCAATAAGTAATTACCTCAAACTGAGTGGCTGCCTTGGACAGTTCAGTTTGGGCGCTTTGAGCCAGGCCCTTGAGGTCCTCAGAGGCAGATCCCGCCTGTTCCTCCACAACCTTCTGGACCTTCTGGCCCACATCCGCCAGGTTTGTGTAGCCTGTCTTGACCTGCTCCAGCAGCTTGCCAACGTCAGGGTTCCTCTGGGCAAGGTCCTCCACTGTGGAATTGACCTGGCCTTGGATTTGTGCCAGGATCCCGGACAAGGAGTTGCCTGTTACGTTGTATTCTGCCAGCTGTTGACAGGATAGAATTTATTTTCGAGGAAACTTCTTTAACTTGATTCTAGTAAATGTTATTTGTAACTGAGCCATCAATTTATTTTGTTATCTAACGAAAACGCGATGTTTGATTTGATAGTTACTAGACCAGCAGTTTGACCGCTCTCTTACAAACACGTAAAAAATACCAATGTCGTGAATAAAAGAACACAAAACAATACAGTTAATGATTAGCAATGGATACTTTGTTTGAAGTTCATTGTTGGTGATGGTGAGTTAATGTTGTTCAAAGGTTTATTGCGGACATTTTCCATCACGAATGTAAAAAAAAAAATATTTTTTTTTTTTTTTTTTTTTTTTTTTTTTTTTTTTTTTTTTTTTTTTTTTTTTTTACATTCGTGATGGAAAATGTCCGCAATAAACCTTTGAACAACAGCAATGGATACATTGCACAAGGAGCCACAGAATCCCTCATTCTTATTGGACTCTTGGAAATTGACTTTAAAAGCTAGTATTGGTTTCAATATTTGACAAACTTCATCTTTACCTTCCCTAAAGGCTCGATTACATGGGGCGAGTTACAAGTTACTAGCTAGTGAGTAAAGGACAGTACGATGTACAACTCCCGCTATCGAACATTCCTCTGACATCATCAAGACTAATTTTACTTGTCGCTTGTGTATATCCAACTATGCACAGAATAATAAATACTACCCTTAGGGCAATTAGGTTCAGTCATTGCTTCAAGAATTAGCAAGGTAGTAATAATTGACCATCGTATGATATACTTCGACAGATAGAAGTGTGTAATTGGTGTCATTTCATAATTTCTTAATATAGATATTTTTAGATCATAGAGCTCTTTGAACAGTATCTTTCTGACCAAATAGATTAGGCCTAAATATTATATGACATGAAATCTTTCAATTCTGTTGCCCTTTTTGTTTGTAAACACATTTGTTTTGAAATTGTAAAGTCAGCCTGTTTACTTTAAAAGTGATGTCCACTGACAAAGAAAATAACACAGAGAAAACTAAACATCCTTAAAGCTATGAATCATGTAAATGGAAATACAAATGTACTTATTCATTGTTTAGTATTTATTTCCCGAAAAAAGGTGTATTGATGACGGTGGTAAATATTTGCCAATACATAGGCTAGAGCGATACTGCAGTGTTAGTGTGACGACATAGGGAGACTTCTGAAGACGCCACGCAAGCTGGCGAAATGTGCTTAAGATAGTATACAAATTGCTACTCAAGAACAAAGGGCTTTAATACTTTAATACTTTTCAATGAAATGGCGACCATACAAAGTAGGTATTTTAAGCCAAGTATAAATGGAGATGAGTGTAGGATGAGTGACGCGATCTTGTAGTCTTGTTAGGCCGACACATCATCCTTAGAAACAGCTGTTAATTAATAGCCCACACAACTAATGGCAACTAAGGGACCTACAGTTTATAGTGGAATCCGAACCACATTTCTGCCTTGGTATATACGAATTGGTCTAATTATCAGGATAGTACTGCGGATAGTCGTAGTACTCACTCGTGCGGACGTTAATCCACACCAGGGAGTATCACATCCACAGTGCATGCCTATAAATATCCACAATTCGCAACCTCCTAGTAGCTGGATTACAGGACGACGCCACTTGTCCCAGTTATTTAGCCTATCAACAGGCAACATAAAGGTAATAACTACTTTAATATAATCACCTTCTTGAATCTGTGATTACTAAAAATATATCAACTATTTCGTTGTAAAGATGAAATATTATGAAAATTACGCAAAGGATTCACGAATAAGATTCAAAATGCGTTATTTTGATTGCACACTAAACAACTCAGTCTCATTGGTGGAGTCATTGCAAACGGTGCTATTAGTGTTCCATTGTGTGAGCTTTTTACGTTACACCTTTTATAGATTATAGTGTTTTGTGATTGGTTATTATTTGCATGTTGTATCATGACTTGACTGCTGTACAGTGCATATTTTTGACTACTACCTTCTGTAGTGTATTCCAACTTAGGTTTGGCGTTTGGGTATTGTTAGTTGTAATGTGTTAGTTAAGTTTTTTCACCTGAGGACGGGATCAGATTCTAGATCCCGAAACGTTGTGTATTGTTTTTTACAATCGTGATGGAAAATGTCCGCAATAAACCTTTGAACAACAAGTGTCTTTACCATGATAAAAAGAAGTGTAATAAATAATTTCATAGTCACTAACATCATAAGCAGGTGTGGTTTTAAAGGCAAGTTTAAAGCCTACCTTTGCTTGGATCTTCGCTGCGCTGTCCTTCAGGTTGTTGAGGTTTTCTTGTAGAGCCGTCTCTACTTCTTGTTTGGTTGAAGGAATGTCCACTCCCAGAATTCCCTCAACAACGTGAGTTGCATTCTGGAACTTGGTGTTGATGTTCTCAAAGATACTGGCGAAGGAAAGAGGTTCTTCTGCAGTCTTGTCACCACTCACCTGTTGTTAAATTTCGCACGTTAACATATTTCTAACATGTTTAAAAATATTAAGTTCCACTAAGACACGAGGGTAGAGCCTGAAACTACTTTTCAATACACATTACTTCAGGCTACTCATAGAGTCGTGGTAGGGTATATAAATACATAAAGTAGTTGTTCTATATTTAGCCTTAAATAGGAGTTAATGTGTAAATTCCATTCATTTCTGTCACAAAGTATCCCTGTCTCAGATGCGTATAATGGCTGAGGAATGAAATATACACTTGTTGGAATTCCTCTGGCAAATCAAGTATGGAAGGAGACGTTTAGCATTGGTGGCTAAACTTAGAAGATTCAGGTGAAAATTGTTAAAAAATAAAACCAATTAGATTTTATGGCTCGTTTTAAATTGTCTCTGATATCAATATGGGAACAATCCTACTTGCTTACATATAACTCTAAACGTACGAATTTTAAGATCAATTTATGGCCAGAGACAAATTTTGTGTGGCCGAAATCATTTAAGTCCTCAGTAGCTTCGATCAAGTTACAGAGAAGGGACTTAAACTAATATCGCAGTACTCCAGGAGTAAAATATTACATTTTTTTATATTTAGTGTCATAATTTGTCTCTATTTTGAACATTATATTTTACTTTTAGTATGATCTGTACTAAATAAACTGTTAGAACACTAAGATTTTTTGGGGTGTAGTTACTTATATAAAGATAAATAAATCAGGTTCAGTAAATAAATCAATTATTCAGGTATGTTCTCATATTTGCCCAGATATCTGTCACTGTAATTTTTTTATATTGGTTACCTCCAGCATGTATAACTCGGTATGTGAATTTATACAACAAATGCAAATTTATTTTATATTCTTCGTTCAGTATTTTTGTGATTATTTACATCATCGGATTTTTTTGCGGAAGGATTCAAATCCTCAATGTCCAACGTTGATCGGTTGTTAGATTTGCAAAAGGTGGCATGTGTTTAAAATTTAAACTGCTAACAAATAAATAATAATTTCTAATGAAATTTAAATTCGTAACAGATTGATACTAAAGTATTGAGACAATTCAGCAACATTTAAATGCATGTGGAAGAAGAAAAAGATTCTACTCGGGCAGTGCTCGACAACGGACCTCCCAATGTTGTATGAGGAAATTTCGTAGCCTAATGGGACAAATGAAGCCATGTAGGTGACCAGGTCTTTGATATTCATTACTACACTCATTCAAGGTTTAGTTTGTCAACCGAGTAGGCCAAGTATTTGTCAGCACACAGTAGGAAACGCAAACTCAGCAAGGAAATGCTTGGGCATGCGCAACGCACAACAACTCAACGCGCAACCGCATATACTGGCAGTTGTAACCTTCAGCTGACTATCTCTAGCAGACTACCACATGTCTTACATTAATTAAAACAGCTGTTGTATTGCAGAGTTTATCCTATTTGTGATAATAATTATGAACTCGTTGGCCTAAAATACGCAAGATAAAGTCAAGTTCCATTGCCTCTTAGCCCTAACTACAACGAGATTTTAAATAAATTGTTGTATGTTTTTAAAATTATGTTAGTCACATTTTTCATTGTTTTTAATATAGGTCTACATCAAAGGATGTTTAAAAAAAGCTGTAATAATGATATTTTATGTGAATTTTCGCTGAGAGTTTACCAAGGGAGTTATTAAATCACACACAACATATAAAACCATCAAATACTTCTTTCAATGTTTTACATGTTATCTCGTATAACTATCGGATGTGTTACCAGTTATTTTTGTAATTTGTTTGTATATTACTTACGAGTGGGGTAATACAGTATACTTTCCTGAAGTGATACAGTCACATAAAAATAAATTACATAAAGATATTTGGTTATGATCAATGACATAAAGATCCCATCAGATACTGCAGTTGTCAAAAGACTGGTAGCCTATGTTTGATTTGAGATGTTAAATATTATATTGTTATTATTGAATAATAAACGTGAGACATTCAGATGAAATAAAACCATATTATTTATAATACATTGAAACTGACATTAAATACGGCAATCGCCTAGATGATCTGCTGTGACTTCTTGTTATGTAGGCCTACTGTATTATAAGTCTGGTGGGTTTCTAAAACCAAAAGAGCTACCGACCCGATAGAGCGAACGGAGTACAAAGGCTTTGTCATTTCTGCAAAAATCAAATCAAATCAAATTTCTGCTAAAAGGGCATTCAATTTTAAAAACCGCATATTATCAGCAGTCATTTGTATAAGAATATCTTCTAATACTATAGTACCTTGTGCATTGTCACATACATGGTATTACAGTTTTAATTACCAAAATTACATTTATGTACCACGGTATTGTTTATTTTTAAACCATGGTACGAGATCGGTAATTGTTTGTAATTTCTCGATTAAGTCTAAATATCACTTCTTATATAAAACTCTGTGTACAGTCTAAAGAACCTTTCCCATTTCCTTTGAGTTTATCTAACACAATTATTGACTTCCTCGAGCAATCGCATGTACTTCTCGGACCATACAAAGGTCGTAAGCGGCATAATATTGACTTGAAGATTACGATAAGGCCAGAGGTTGAGTGAGTAGGTCTTGCAAAACTAAGATAACCCTTCGTAGATTAGAAACCGCAAGCGATAGACTGAATGGATTCGCAAAATGCTTTGCAAATTTACAGTACAATTTTAATTTGTGATTGTTGTGTAGTTAGGGGTTATGGCCAAAAAACTATGACACATTTAAATAGATTCTACGTTGCGGATTCTAAACATTGTTCTGAACCCAGGTATAAATAGTGGGATAACGATCGAATAAATAAATTGATCGAAGAATAAATGAATTGTGGTTTATTCCTCATAAGATTTCTACTTAATACAGAGTTTGACCAATATCTATTAGATAACCTTCATAAAAACAATAAAAGAATATACGCAGGGACAATATTACAAAATTGTTAGTTGAATGTTAAACAACAAGGGATAAACAAAAAACAAATTGAATGAAATGTTCTAGCTGTTACAATAATTAAATAGGGCACTGTTTGTGAAATCAGCAGACAAAGACGAAACTCTGCCTGTGCGCCTGCTACAATAATTATTTGTAGAAATTTACTGATTGATGTTATTGATGAATTGTAAGTGGAGACGGAACTTTTCTCTTGCCAGGTTAGGTTTTAGGACAGTTTATAACAATTCACCTTAACGCAAATAAAAGCGTTGACATGTGATTATATTCCAAGAAAACTTTGTAATAGGGAAATTCGCATTTGCATTAGTTTATTATACAATTAGTTAGCGTTTACCATCAGTTGATAACTAGATATTGAATATCGACCGATAAGGGGATTGTCGGTAAATTATTATAATTTAAGTTTGACGAAACCCTAAGAAATAATAAGATTAGCATACGCATATTCATGTCTCCGTATTTTTAGGACCATTTCCAGAAGTTTTTGTGTGGTTAAACAAATTATACCCATTTAATTGAATAAATTAATCCATGATAAATTCACGAGCCTCTTGCGTATTTTTTCATATTTTCTTTTCTTAATAACTTGTGTTGTAGTATAATGTTTTAACATACTAATTGGGGAGAAGAGCATTGAGTAAAAAGAATTTCATATTTATATTATAAGTTAAATGTAAGTTAAAATAGGATTGAAAAAAACATAGTTGCACAACATGTTTACAACTACTTAATTTTAAAATGTAATAATTTTAATATGATACATTATGATTAGACAATAAATGTAATTAACGTCACAAATGTCCTTAATGTACTTAACGTGTGTAATGTCATTAATGTACTTTGCATTATAATTAAGGGGCTGTTCTTTCTGTCTGAATATTTTCACAAATACCAATAATTACCTTGAAAATACTCTAAGTAAATCTGAAGTTGGTGGTGTTAAACAACGAACCACACAGATAGTTGAAATGCCCAAGAATCAATAGATGACTTCTTATTTTTGTCCATTACGATAGCTCCTATCCTACTTACGCGATTAACAAAACCTCTAGGTGCAAATTCGAATTGGTTTTAGAGGTAATCGGTTAATTTGTACTTTTCCCAAAAACTCATTATTAGAATACGTCAATATTCACTGTCGACCAGAAATACTCAGAATAGTTTACTTCCGGTCGCGAAATTAAGTGTTAAGAAATGTTCCATGTTCATGTATCTATATAAATTATAAACGATGGCCAGCAAATCAACATTTTTATTTATGCATTCCACTTTTGTTATTTTATTATTCCTAATCATATAACAAAATAATCGTGACGTTTAGTTTTATTTGTTTGGTTATAAATGTCTTAATTTCATTTATTAATATAATCTAACGAAATTTATATTTCATCCTTCCTAAACCACCAATCAAATAATTACAGAAACGTTATTTTTAGTAAATAAATAATTATTTATATATATATAAAACTATTGCTTATAATGTTAAGTAAGTTTTTTTTTATTTATTTTTGCTGTTAATTTAAACGATTTACACTAATTTAAAATGGTGTGTCACACTAGTTGTTAGTCTAGTAATAAAAAAGGTAGATATGACTCGCTTTCGACATGCTCATTTTTTAAATGTGTAATTTATGTCTCGATAAGAACCAGTACAGTGGTAAAATCAGAGTATTAACTTAGCAACACCTCATCTGGGAATCATGGTGGGATTTGGTTTTGTAATTACAGAATCCATGTTACTGTAAGTTTGAAGATTTATTACATTTCATAAGAAATCTTGTAAATTAGCCTCTAAAATCTTTGGATCAGTGGATGGTAACCAAAACCAAACACGAAATAAGAATGAATCTTTAGTTTGCTATTTTTCAATATTTACCAAACAGATTAATTAAGTACAACCAAAAATTTCATTTCATTTCGCAATGCTGTATCATAGGAACTTTGGAAGTATGTTAAATGACATATAATTATGTAATGGATCAAATTTAAGACGTATAAGAATTTTAATTTAGACAGACAATAAAGCATAACCTTTAATAATAAAAAAATATTGAAAACAATCATTACACATTATTATCTATAGTTGTCACATATACACTGCAATACATTTAAACTACATGCCATACAGACGTATTTTTAAAGAATAATCTAGATATATGAATGCACTCACTGAGGCGGCGAGAGCCAAGAGGGCGAAGGCGAGAGATCTAGTCAACATGTTGGTCCGGAGGTCTTTGAAGCACTGCAGCGGAGATACTGACCCGAGGGCCCAGCATCGCTTAAATATCATCACTTATCTTACGTTGACTCGTGTCTTATGTGTCATCCATAATTGACTCAGCCAGCCCAGGTGAAATGAATACATATCATATAAACAATATTGGTCTCATGCTCTTTGGCTTAAATATAATAACTCACAAAGGTAAAGATTTGGCATCATTTGCATCAAAATGGGTTATCTGGTATGAAGTTGTAGCTTGACCTTTAACCTTGATTTTGGCAGCTTTTGTCTCACTTTTGCTGCTCAATTTGGCGTTAAACGGGGGTTAAATCTTGTGGGACAGACATATAGTACTTGCGTACTTTTGAATTTTACTTCCAGTTTGCAAAGTTGCTCTTATGGAAGTGAGTAAAACCTAAACCTAAGGACCTTAACATATATAGAGGTTTATGTAAAGGTTTACATAAACCTCTTCCTCTTATGGAAAGGAGCAAAACCTAAGTTAAATAATATAAAGGCCAATATAAGATTATCTTTCATTAATGGTTTTGTGTGGTTTAATTGTTATATGACGCAATTATAGATTATGTTACTCTATACGTTAAAAGTACATACTCAGACATCACTTAATTCAGAGGAATGATTTATTCATATTTTACTTTAAAATTACCCTAGTGCCATATGAACAAACTAACTGTTAAAATGTTAGTAAAGTATTTGCATATCATTAGAACGGTAAGTTAATTTTATTTATTACTCAATAATACACAAAATGTTTGTATTACCTTTTTGTTCCACAGTTGTTCGTTTTCTTTTGATTTTACTGGATTTTATTTTTTGGAACTATGAAAAAATATTACTTCTTCATTGCCTTTTGTTCTTATTGAAATATTTAGGCAACCTTTTCTGTTCTTTGCACGGAGAAAGAATACTGCTAACCACAATATTTTTTCATAATTTTGATCACTGCTTCACAATAGTAAATTCGCCCAAGTATCATTCAATCCCTGGCCATTCCTTGAGAATTCGCCCAAACGAATAACGATTGAAATATCATCGCGGTAATGGCAAAGTAAGCATAACAAATTTCCTTATCCTAAGGTAGCTTAAGTAGTCATGTTCTCCACCTCTCCATGGATGTAAAATCAGGATGGGTCATGAGTCCAATTATCGTCTCATAGTTGCTTCGGGCCACATGTCCAGCTTCTGGTGGGTCTCTTTTGACACCCACAGATACAAATTAATGACTCCTGTCACCAACAGAACTGCAGAGCAACACTTAAAATCAACAGCCTCTGGAAATCCTAAGCGTCTTCTGAATGTAAGACGTCTGTAATTTTTAACTGTAAAGACTCGACCCTAAGTGTGAACCCTCTACAAGAGCACGGCCTCAACATCACTATTCATCTGATTCAGCTTTAATATTGAAACACTTCAATGAAAATGGTTTATTCCTCACCTTAATAAAAACAACTGACACCACAAACAACATTTGAGGTTTTCAGTAGTTAAATATTTAATTAGTAGAAATACTAAGAGTTATTTCTCAACTGCAAAGTCACCATCTTTTTTACACATTTTACTTTTTCCTATTTTTTTACACAATTTTATATTTTTATGAGTATTAAATTTAAAGTCTAAAATGATTGTGTTTTAATTGTGTTCAAATTGCCTGAACAAGTTCGCCTTTGCACAGCTATTAAAATGATTCATAGAAGTTAATCAAAGTGTTACCCTATATTTACTTCAAATTTATATTTCATAAAGGAAGGCGTAGAAAAAACACCCAGAGATTCATATTTCTGCGTAAATTTATTTTACGCCACACTACATTATTTTGACGAACTTCCCACGCAAGGATTTAGTCCAGAAAACAGCTGTTTGCCGCCAGCTTATTCAAATTGGGTTTCAATGCGTACTACTGTGCTGCAATGAGTTTTGCCGGACACCAATCAGCTGATTATACTGTATTTAGGTGGCAGTGAGTGGTTATAAACAAAAACATAACCTCTCTTAGAGGTTATGACTAGTGATTTTTAGTCCTTTAGTTGGTGGAAATATATAAGGATCTGTACGGATTTAGTTGTATGGCGTAAACTATCGTACGTAACTCGTCCAAAATGTGTGTACCGGACTCGTATGGTAATCCCGTACTCGACTTCGTCTCGCACGGGAACGACCACACTCGTCCGGTAAACACTTATTTTCAGGACTAGTAACGTAATATACTATTATGATAAACTTACCAATATAATAATTATTTGTGGAATGAATAAAGTGGCTTTTATTAAATTGACTGTTAATATAAATACTGTAAAAGTTAAGAATTTATACATTTTTTTACAACGAATTTGTAATAAATCACAAACCGATAATCTGTAAAATAATATCGGATAATATATAATATTAATAATAGTATAAGTAATATAAATAATATATAATGATATAATCAGATGTGGCAAAGAATAACAAATATTTATTACAGTTGAAACTTGACAAACTGTTTCAATCCCGTTGTGTAACGTGCTTCGTAATATCTTGTTTTCGATCCCGTTTTGATGTTTTCACCAAAATTGCGTATTAATTATAGCTTCAACCATTAGGCTATATATTGTTTGAGAGACAAAAAACCTTATTGTCATGACGAATCATGTCGTTAACTATGAAAAACCAAACTCAATTACATTTAATTCAAGAAAGATGTGTACAAAATAAAAAACAGATTAAACGGGCCGGGCACCCCCGGCTCGTTTAATTAGAATTGTATTGAATTTACACAATTGAATTTTCACAATTGAATTTTCACCAAAATTCATTTGAAGATCAATTAAGATTGTCAGTTCTTATTTGTGTTTTACTTATTTCTGTCTTTTTGCACGCGTAAATATAGTATAAGTATCTATAAATTCTATTTGAGTGTTCTAGTCATTCTGAAAATACTATGTTGCATAAACTGCTCTTTGGTTTGTTTGGATTGTTGCTATCGTTTGTTGTTTGTTGTTGATGTTGCTATTTTGTTGTACAAGGTTGTAGTGCACATGATAAAAGTAACGTATGAGATCCTTGCTATGAGAAATGTTATATGAAATAAAAACTATATATATATACTGAATGTAGTATTGTGAAGTGAAAAGGTGATACATTCAGTCAGAACCTTTGTTGACAAAACATCTCTTCTTACATTTAAGCATTAGTCTCCAACGAATTGAACTGTAGCAATATGTTACATATTACTAACATTTTTTTTATAATTATACTAATGCCTAGGATTGTCTGTGTGCTATTATCTGTTTAGAGTCACCATCTTGTGTAGACGTTATCCATTGTTTTCTCATGATTTCGATTGTTACAATAATATTGTGTTATTTAAGGGACTTTGTTTTTATTCCAACTATTCCTTATTCCTACTACACACCTAGGTGGCATCCCCATCTCAGATAATTTATAATATACACCCCGTTATTTTTCATTATGATTTTTACTTCGTTGGACGGGTTTGTGTACTAATCTTGGTTACGTTCCAGACACTTTCTCAAATAATAGTGGGAACATATTTCAGATCTCAAAACATTGCAAAAACTTTGTTTTTTACTAATCGGTATACACATTTCTGCAATAATTGAATGGATTATATTTCTTAAACACCACGCACGTTATATTTTTTGTACATTTTTTCATATGACTAGGCTGATAGATTAAAATATTGGTATGGTATAACAATGTAATGATGGCCAAACAGTGGTCCAACATACAAAAAGACTTAGAGAACTAATTTAAGTAAACAAAGAAATTGATAGAATTTTACCGATTCAATCAGTTAAAATACACTGTAATTATTTAAATAACGTAGTTTTAATACGGCTCCATAAACAAAAACCTAAAAAAACAGCACGCATGTTGGTAATCGTTATCACATTTTAGTAACATGAAGTAAAAACAGCCAACGTAACCACAGTTTACAATAGGAGTTCTTATAGCTCAAAGTTCGATTTGTATCATTGGTATTATATCTTGCTTGAATTAATTTGAGTTTGTAAAAACGTTAAATATAATCGCAATATTATTATAGACAAGAAATAGTCTTTGAAATTGAAAGCTGCTTCTTAATAGTAACATAAAATTGGAAGTGATGGAGGTTGAATAAATTATAAAAAATTTGGTATATTTATGGATTTCGTTTCAGTCATGTTCAACAATCTTTTATAACGGTTTAAAGGAATTATCCTCAACACGTAATTTGATTATACATACAATACACTTAAACTAGCGATTTCTTAAAGCCAAACACGACTGTGACTTGCTAATATTGTAAAGCGAAAGATTATATCTTCGTTGACAAAAATATTCTTCTAGGTTAAGCTGTGTTCGATTACGCTAAGTTGCTTAAGCATTACTTATCTTACAACGTGTTACTAATGTTACTTAAAATAAGGTTCCATGATGCATGAAGGACAACACGAATGAGCTTGAGACTTGGCATAGAAATCAAAGAACCGAAAATGCATTCAACCTAAATAGGGAGGAAGAAGTTAAAAATCGAAATCTCATTTTTCTGAAAGTCCAGAAAAGTACAAGCTGAAACTGTTTATGTAGGTTGTAACCTTTTCTGGTAGTCTAACGACTAAAGACTTGTCTACTAGTAACGAGGCCTTGTATCCCTTTTATTATTTTACTTTATATATCAACCAATAAACATGTGGTTGATATATGACGGTTTTATTTTAGAAAGTTTTGATCACCGTAATATCCTGTGTGGAATTATATTTTACTTGGAAATTTCCAGTGTCACTTATAGATAAGAGTGATTCTAAGGACTATTTTGTTTTCTTATCTAGCAGCATAATTATAAATCAATGATATCACTAGGTCAAATGTATAATAGCTTAATAACATGTGGATGTCCATGTCTATCTCTATGTCAATAGAACAAGCCGCTTATTTGTCGATGGCCAGACAATTTACTCATCATTATCTTTCATTGTTACCAATAGGAAAATAACAGATACGTCTAATTTCCTGTTGTTTGTCTAGCACATTCAAAATTTTGGGTAGGAATGCAACACTGTGGAACTATTCTAGGCTAA